TAGAAGAGGTCAATTGGCTTTTACAATCAAATTTTCCCGCCGAGGTAGGTCAAAAGAGATAATAAATAAGTAAATGTATAAAATAGATAACGAATAAGATTGTTGTTTTTCATGATCATTAATATTTAATAATATTTAAATATTATTAATATTATTATTAATAATTTTAATAATATTATTTTAATATTTTAATGCTTAATATTTGATTTTAATATTTAATTATATTTTAATATTTAATTATAATATATATTTTATATTTTATCAATGATTTCTGCATTTACTTAAATTATACGATTTTTTCCCGCAGTTTTTTCAATTTTATTTTTGGTGTAATTTTTATTTTTTTATTATATTTTAACTATATCCTAGTTTTTAGTGTGAATATTAGTGAATATTAGTGAACAATAATAACTTATGGATTTATTTAACATTATAAGCCATTTTAAATATATACATATATATCCGGGTGATGCTGGCGAATCACCTATATTTCTATCGCCAAGGGACTGCCTGGCATATCTGTCCAATGCGACAAGCCAGCAGAGCGAGTTTAACCAGAAATGATGAGGACTCTTAAAAAAATATATATGTATATGGGGGGAAGGATACGATAGAATCGTATGAATAACCAGGTTGGACTGGATTCTTAAATCTTCAAAGAATTGAAAATTGAATCGGCTGCTGTTCGGCATGCAGCATTTATCTCTCTCAAAAAGGACTAACTAGCTAAAAATGTTGTACCTTAGTAACCAAACCGAAAATGGAATAAGCATGAGCGACCTTTTATCTCGATGAAGATTTCTTTCACCAACAATCAGTTCATTACTTCTTGATGTAATAAAAATGATATGGCTGTTAACGTGATATGGATGCTGAAGATAACTGCTCAACTGGCCATTTGCTCATATTTCGTGAGCGTTGATACTGGTTTTATTCTCGGCCGTAGTGAATTTATCTTTATTATGATATAGGTTTTAGAGGTAGGAGGTCTCATTTGCGGAGATGCTGACGATTCGCCCATATTCAGGCGAAATAATCCCCAAAAAATTTTGGCTAACCCGATAAGCCAATTCAACTAGCCGAATGAGAAATGATCGCTCCTTTAAAAAATATCTTTCAGAATCTTTTTTCTGGTACAATTTTTGCTATAAGCGATTGCAAGCGATCTATACCTATGAACTGCTGTAAAATGAGGCGATTTTTATTACAAGTCATATTACTATTTTTCATATTTGCTGTAAGTAAAGCATTTATCTTTGGACGACAGCAAAATATCACAGTAGTGGGTCGATTCCTCTGTGGATATCGGATAATCAAAGGCTTAACGCGAGTTCATATATCGGATTTGCCTTTCGGTAAAAATTTTCCTTGCTAATTATAGCAAATCGAATTTGCACGTAAATTTATAAAATTCATTGTTCAAGAATTTCGATAGAAGAAAATAACTAACAACGATACTTTATTTTCATCCACTTGATTCGATAATCCAGAAGACTTATATAATAAATTTTTTTAATTTTAAGGATCTATTTTCGGTTTAAGCTTTAAACAATTGAATAATACGCTTGTGAATGCTGAAGGAAATTTTCATATCTTTGCCAAAGTTAAAAAACTTTTATCAATGGAACCAATTCTTTTTGCTACTCATCAATGTGATAACGGTTCATTCAATAGTGTTAGCCTTTCATACTGAATAAATCAATTTTAAAAAAATTTAAAATGCTCAAAAAAAGAATTTATTTTTCGAGAATCTATCTAAACATTATAATTATTACTTATTATTAAAATTGTTTTTATTGATTTCGATAAAAAATTATCAATTAAATTAAATTATTAGAAGTATATTTAGAATTATTAGATATTTAAATATATTTAAATAATATATATTAAATATTTAAGTATATTTAAATTATTAGAAGTATATAAGTATATTAGAAATATATTTCTTCTTTTAACAGCTTGTACGCCATCCATTAGCGATTTGGCTGATTCCACTGGTGACTATGGGTGAGACATTTCCAATTCCCTGATAAGGATAGATTTTAGTGTAACGTAAAAAAAACAATTCGATCTCGTCGGAACCACTTTGTTTTTCATTTCCATTTCTTTAAAACAGATAATTTGCGTATTACCTTTCCCCTGAGAATCTCCTGAAAGTCAACTTTATCAGCTCCGAAACGAAGAAATATCTTACAAAATTTTCAATGGGCACCATATATATCTTCTATCTCATAAGTGATTGAGAATCTCATCGTAGTGATACCAGTGGAACTCGTCAAATTAGAAACAATATGAAAAAAATTTACATAGAATTATCTGTGGGTGAATTTTTATTTTAATTTCAGAATTGTACAATCACTGGTGGTTTCCTCTTGCCAACGGCATACATTGGAAAAGTATATGATATAGGAGTGGTTAGTTTAAATATATTTCATTATGAACAAAAGAAAAATTGCACCAATTAATGAGGTGAATTTTCATTAAAAAAAAAAACCAAAGGAACAATTTTGATTTGATTTGATTAAATGTTATTTTGCAAAAAAATTTTAAGAGAAAAATCGTTTGATTTTATAATTTAAAGAAAGAAAATTCCTCAATAATTTTATTTACTTTTAATTTTATTATTTCATATTGTTTTAAATTTTCCCTCAACTTTTATTTTAATCTATTTTTAATAATTTTAATAATAAATAATAATAATTAATTGTTTTCATAAATTTTGCAAAATTTTGGTTATAATAAATCTATCAAATAAATTTTGGTTATAATAATCATTAAATTTATTTTGTACAAACTATAGTGAATTTCTAAAGCGCATCTCAAAATCTTTCAGAAATAGGCTAAAATCTAAATATATTAAGCAAATATTAAAATTTAGCCAATAATTCAACTGATCTTTCAATCTTTCGAGCTAATAATATCAAATAAGATTATGTTATTCTAACATTAGGAAAAGCAATTCTGCAATTTCTAATGCCACTAACCACTGCTGCTAGGCTTTCTCGCTAAGCGATCATTTGAGGTGCTACAGGTGCTAATTCGCGTCATTAACAAATCTTAACACATCATAGGATTATGTGGTTATAATAAATGGCAAGAATGGCGATTATTTCTTTGATTTTAAAATAGTTTCTATAGCGGATGTTAAGAAAAGCGATGCACGTTTCTGCAAGTAATGATCGCCGTTTTCAAAACATACTGAGACCTTGCGCTTTTCGTTTTTGATTAATTCAGCATATCGCTCGACCAATTTCATTTGATCAAATTCAGCCAAAGATGATGAAAACTGCAAAAATTCTTTTAAAAAATAGAAAAATAAATTAATAAGGAAAAAAATTTTTTATAAATATATATATGTTACAAAATAATTTTTATAGCTAAATGAAATGTAAAAATCATTTTTATATATTCGCCTTATAATAGAAAAATCCATTAAAATATTATTATTAATATTTTAATTTTTCTTATAACTTTGAAAATATCGACGAAAATTTATTGAAATTTATATTATATATTAAAAATTAAAATTAAAATTATATATCAAAAATTTATTGAAAATTTATTAATTTATTTAAAATTTAAAAACTATACTTTTACTAAATTTTTTTCTTTTGCTTAAGTTTATTCATATTCTTCTCTAAATTCAAAAGAAAAAAAAATTATTACTTTGATGAATGAAAAAAAAAAATCATTTTAATTTTAAAAAATATTTAAATTTAAAATTCATTGAATTGAATTGAAAAAGTTCATTGAATTTAAGATTCAATAATAATAAGACAACTGAAAATCGACATACAACGATATTTTCCATATTTATGAATTCGACAATAAAATTATCACTTAGATAACTATTGATCAACTTATCAGCATGTGAATATGCTATTAGCACCTAAAATTAAAATTGTTGAAATATCGATGATATAAAAGAATTTAGATAAAACTTTTATGAAAAATACTTATGAAAATATTTTTTATAGATATTTTTATAGATATTTTATATTTTATAAAATATTTTATAGATATTTTTAGGAATATTACATTGTTATATTATTTTATAGATATCTATCTGCCTTTAAATTAAAATAAATGTATAAATAGATGCAAATGTTTTACTAGAGAAATATTTTTTTTTACAAAAACTATTCAACAAATTAAAAGATTTTTAATATCAAACATGGATATCCGACTTGTTCACTTCATTTATATATGACAATTGTTGTTCCAAATCCAGTGTATTTACAGTTTGAATTGCATTTGCTGCTTCTCGACCATTTGCCACTTTAAGATTTAGTAAATAAACGTAAGCTGAAATGGAAAAAAGACGTTGAATGATGTGGAAAATTTACGAAAAGAATGCAATAAGAATTTAAAAATTATCATTTGCTAGAGTATTTCTAGAAAAATTTGGAAAATTCCGCAAATCATCAAATTAGGTTTATTCCATTTACTAAATATATCAAAAAACAAAAGTCTTAACAAAATATAGCATAGGTGACAGTATAATTTGGGATGATAAATGTCCAAGTTTCCATAACCAGGATATTGCATTTGTGATGAAAGCCAATCGTGCATTCAGTAAAAGTGGATTGACTAGAACAATTCCGCTAGTTTTCTCCTGAAATTGATGAGAATTTTTTCCTGGACAAAACAAAGACAATTTCTTCGAAGAAGCAAAAAAAAATTATTATAAACGGCAACTAAGATGATTCATTAAGAGTACTTTCACTGGCAGCAATATGGACTTAGTTTCTATCTTTTAACTTAAACTTATAAGAAGTAAACTTAACAATAAAAATAAAACCAAGGATCTAACTGTATTTCTGTCTCCTTAGGATCCCACCTTTTGGTCAACTAAAATAGAATTGGTGAATTTTATTAAAAGAAATTCTCAGATATCGAAGATATTTATGGGCAAAATGAGTGAAAGAGGAGTTGAACCAGTAAAATCTTTGAATTAATTTATATTTAATAAAAAAGATATGTGGAAAAAACATGCGGATTCATAAATGAAAAACTATAATAACTTTGTTGATTAGTCCTAATTTCATCGCTGTCACTGCTCCTCTGCTATGGCCAAGAAATGTAATTTTGTCTAAATTTAATCGCTCAACAATTTGTTGGACGAAACAAATACGGTCGCTTTCAAAAAAAATATTTTCGTTGCCTTAAAAAAGATACAAGAATTTTAAAAGCTTAAAAAATGATTAACTTTTATTTATTTAATGATTAACTTAATGATTTAATGATAGAAAGGATTAAGATTAAGATTATATTAACTTTTTGGCTTGAGGCAATATGGTAGAAAGCAATAAATAACAAAAAATCATATAAAATAAACTAACCTGAAGTATATCCATATCCAGGAAAATTTATGCCAATCATTCTTATTTGTTGGTTGTCGAAAAGAACCGCCATATATTTAAAGTCATTATGAGAACCTGGCGCACCATGAAGGGCGACAACAGTACCAATACTTGATCCAATAGGTAAAGTATCCTATAAAAATTACCAAAGTTGTCAACAATGTCAGTGCTGGACCTTTAAATCATTCTTAATCATGACTAGTTAGTTCCAATTATATTAAGCAATAACTCAGTGAATCAGCTAATGATGAAGCAAGCCAAAGTGGATGAAAAATCAAAGGTAGCTAAATTACAACTTGAAAATAGTTCATTTAAAGAACACTAATATTTTACAAATTCTCGAAATTAATAATAATAATAAATTAAGAAAAAAAATAAAAATTTCTGCCAAAAATGTCAAACAAATCGGTGATTGAAGACTATTTCTCCTCGATGATTTCGACGACTTATCAGACCACACAAATTTTGCTGAAGAACTATTTGACGATAGAAAAAACAGGGTTACTAGCCTACCAGGTTTTTTCTGCCTGGAGCAGAATTCCCAATATATAAACTGAGAACTACTGGGTTTCTGTAAACAAAAAATATTACCTGAAATATCGCATCGAATTTCACTAGTCGATTATTTTTACTTATAAATTCAATTGGTAATTTTCTAAGCCTTCCGCATATTAATTGATTGGTACTGCAATTGGATATCTGAAATTTCAAAAATATTATTTATTAATTGTAAATAGGCCAATCCTCGAAGAGACTAAAAGAGACTAAATTTCATGCTATTATCGTGTCACTCTACTTTATTTTCAAGAAATCTATCAACTATAAATTCATCAAATCCTTCTAAGCGATGAATTGCTTCAAGTACCAATTTTGAGAATAGCCACTAATCAAAAAGAAATTTTCCTATAATTTATGATTTTAACATCATAATTATAATAATCATTTTCGAAAAGCACGCAAAATTTCTGCTAGGCTGTTGGCCTATTCGAATCGCAGTGATTTCTCATTTCTGCTAGGCTGGCCTATTCGAATCGCAGTGATTTCTCATTTCTGCTAGGCTGGCCTATTCGGATCGTAGTGATTTCTGCCAAGCACTCACTTGTTGATAGATATATGAGTGGATAGCCAAGACCGATCGGATTTTTGAGACAGGTTTATTCCCGCTGAGAATAGAATAGAATCTCAACATTGGTCCGCTCCGAAATGATAAAAACAATTCACTGAGCTATTCTGTTCAATTTAAAGATTATTCCTGTAATTTGAGTTTATTTTCAAGTTTATTTCTAATTTCATTCCTATTTAAAATAATCAATTAAAAATTAAACCATTCAATTTTTTATTTTATACGAAACAATGTTTGGCAACATTGTCCGTTTAATTTTTTATACCCAAATTATCAATATAAATCATGGAAATATTTAATATTATTAAATAGTTTATTAGATTTACATGTTTCATAATTTATATGATAAGTAAGTGACAAAAACCAAGAAGAGATAAAAAAAAACCAAAACATAATTAATGATATCAAAAATATATTTGATAAAAATATATTTTATGTATACATATAATATACATATAATATAAATATATAATATTATATAATATATAATATTATATTTATTAAATATATAATATTAAATATATAATATTATATTTATTAAATATATAAAATATATTTTAAGTTAAAAGTTAAAAGTTTCAAATATTATAATTAAGAAGAGATATCTTTTAGAATATTAATACAATAAAAATATTAGAGCAATATCCAAAAATTTAACCTGATGAAAAAATTTATATAAGCCAAAAAAAAATTTTTCGAAAATCTATTTATTTATAAATAAGAAAAACTTAAAAATTATTTAAATTTTAAAACTTACATCATCATGAAACAATACATTAAATGCTATATTTCCCACTTTTGGCTATTTGGCTTAGGCTTATTCGAATAGCTACTCAAAATGAAAATATTTTAGCCAAACAATCATCTGAGGATAAAAGTAGATCGATTTCTTGCAGTTATTTGCAGTTTATATTATAATGAAAAAAAACAATCTGCATTATGTCTTCGCTTAGAAATAAACGGAATTCATTAAAAATTAAAACCAGTAGAGATATATAAATGAGCCTTGGAAAGGAAGTGATTCAGCCGAAAAATACTAATAATCATATCAAAATAACAAAATAAAAATAAAATCAGATATATAATAAATGCACTGCTGAAAAAAACTGGCAAAACAGGCAAACCCAAAGCAAAAAAGTCTAAAAAATATTCATAAAACCTGAAAATATATGAAAACAATAGAAATTATAAATGAATCAATAAAAATATTAAAAGAAATAAAAAAATTTAGTAATTTCAAACAAATAAATAAAACTTATTAAATATGTGACGAAGGAGCGAAGTGACTGAGTCTTACGTTAACCGACTGCGAGGCGATGGGGGTTCGATTTATGTCTCTGACAAGAGTAACTGAATCATTAAAAGTGAAGTGAAGTGAGGTAGGTTTCTGAGAACTTACAAGCATCTTTTATCCAAGAATGAAAAATTCAGAATTTTCCCCAAAAAAATTAGTTGCAAAAAATAAATTATCCTACTTGTGCGCAATATAAATGACACAAAAAATTTAAAAAAAGTTATATTTATAATTGATGAAAAGCAGTAATAAATTGCGAATCACTTAATTGCATGGAAGCCACTTTATGAAAACCAAATTTCTCTAATCGAAGAAAATATGAATAAAATTTTCGCATATTTTCATTTTCCTCACCAGTCCATAATCTATAAATTTACCTGTACATTAAATTACTCCTCCTTTCTTAAAAAAAAAATTTTTTTTTCCCAAAATTTTTGATGGTCGAATTTTTTTAGAAAATTTTTTTAAAAGAAAATTTAAAAAAAGAAAAATTAAACAAATTAAACGATTGAATGAATTAAAATGAATAATTATTGAAATCTATAAAATATTTCTTATTGTTATTCTTTTAATATTCCTAATAATATTAATATTTCTTACTGAATAAAATAAAAAATAATTTAAAAAAATTAAAAAAAATTAAAGAATATCAGAGGAATATCATTACAATATAAATTACCTTATAGTGAATACGATTTGAGAAAATCTTCTCAAATGTTCAGATTTTGAAAGTGAATCGAAAATATCCCATTCCGCACCATTTAAATCCAAAATTAAACCAGATAAAATTTGGCGATTTGCATAATTTATTATTTTAGAGAATGACAAAAGCTGCCAATAACCATTCCCATCGGGAATAGTGACCGAATTATAAGTTGGAGACAAACCAAAAGGAAAACTACGATTAAAAGGCCCAAATCTGAAATTTGCTGCAATCTCTAAGAAAATGATTTTTAATTTGAAATTACATATGTAAATGAAGAATACTCATCATTAGGCTAACTTTTCATCAGACTACATAAATTTTACTTTATTTAGCGATGGATATGTTGTCATTTTCTGAAAGAAACTCTCCGCTCCGAAATAAAGGTAAAAGGAAACACTGAGTTATTCTTATCTTCGCTCAATATAATAATATAAAATTCGACCAATAACCCCAAATAAATCCCTGGCAAAAAATGTCCAAAGAATATATTTTTTTATTTTTTTATATTTACACTTAAATACACTTATTAAACACGCTTTAAATAAACCAAAAGAGTCACCTCATATTAGACTGTACAGGAGAGAAAAAAAAGACATCACAAGGTGCGAAAATTTTAAATTCATCTGATGTTTCCATTAGCGAATATCTGAAGACAATAGGGGAATATAATTTAAAAGAATATTTAAACAAAATAATTCCTGTAGTAATGCTATACTTTATGTATATGACTGAACATTGATTTTCATTAGTATCTGAAGTAAAATTCGGGCAAAACAAAATTCCTGTAGAACCATTAAGAAAATTTCTGCAGTTCAAACGATTTATATTTATTGGCATTAAATATCGAACAATTCGTTGTCGTTCTTCTAACGGTGATCCTTAAATAAAAAAAAGAGAGAAATAAATCATAAGCGCCTATTATATATCTAATTTAATTGATTAGCAAATACTAACCGAAACCGAAAACTGGAGGTTCAGCTAAATTACTTTGCACGAAACTCAATCGATATTTACATGATTTTATCTTTCGACCACAAAATCCATCAGACTGAGCGCCAATTAATGCATAATTAAAATCGAAAAAGAATCGGTAAAGTAACTTATACCAAGAAAAAATGACATTTTCCTTATTTCGAGAACCAATTTCAATTATAATTTGCAACTGTTTCGCTTTCAGAACCTATTAATTAAAATTTGAGATAAATTGGAAATTTTAAAATCAAGGAGATAAAAATTTTAGATAGATTTCCTGGAGATAAAACTATACAAAAACTCAAAAATTTTACGATAAGTGGTTGACTGATGTATTGCTTGGTTGAGAACAAAGCATTTGATTCCCACTTAATGATAGGAATAAACCTATCATTAAAAGTAATACCCGAGTAGTGCCAGGAGCCAAGTTTTTTACTTTGACTCACCGTAATGACTTTCTAGAGAGGAAGAACTTCTCAGCTTTAACAACCAGTCAAATCAGCCGAAAAAAATGTGATCCTTTAAAATGTACAAATTGTTATAAATAAAGGTAGCTGACTTTGATAATTTCTTCCATTTGCTTTGGAGCTTCTAGAAATTGATTAACACCACCATTTTCAGGATTACTAATAAAAGGCGAATAAAGATTAATAAATGCACTATCAAAATTCCGGTTTGTAATTTCATTTACAATTTCTGATATGGTGAAATCCTCAGAATCCTTTAACTCCAAAAGATAGTGCAGCTCGATATCTAAAAAAATTTGTAATATCGTAAAAGTAAACTGGTAACTACAGCCATATATAAGCATTTCTTACCAACATCATCAAGTTTATCGAGTGTTTCAAAGCCTTCAGGTACAAAGCCAACCCAACGTTTTGGATTTAATGTTTTCATAAAAAGAATATCATCGTAGGTTGAACCACTTATATACAGCGCTTCTCTGTAATTTTATTGTGTATATTTAATGATATAAAGTTCCTACTTATTCGCAAAATTATTTATACAATTTTATTTTTGATTCTTATTGAGCAATTTCAACTTTATCGATGATTTTCTCAAAACTTTATGGTGCTTTGATAATTTTCTTTGTATTCCACTCCTATTATTTTAATTCTAACTGGGAGAGGACAGTGGAATGGCTGTGGTACAAATTGCCATCTCTAGCATCAAGGTTTATAGTCTACCTCCAAAGGACCCTACCAATTAAAAATAATATTATTCTACATATTCTACATATTATCCTACATATTCTTAATGGCTCCTAATCTCCAAATGACTCAGCCCTAAAAGTTTTAACCAGTAGAGTGAACCTAATCACAAATCGAGAGGAATGACCAAATACTTTCTGGAATGTTGGAACAAAAGAAAAAATTAAATTTTGGCGATAGGAGTATATATTGCCAGCGTCACACGACATTTACCAACTAACAAATCTCATATCATATCAATAAATTAGCAATGGGATATCGTTGAACGCTTGTTACTAACCGTTTATTAATGCGGGTCAAACATGCTGGCTCTATAAGGGAGGTCCATGTTTAAAATAATAAAATGAGAACGGAGCCAATGTTTAAAGATAAGATGAAGCTGGGGGTGAAGCTGGGAGAATTTCATATCATATCATAGCAAAATTACTATTCATCCCAAAATTTAGAAGATTAATTTGCATATGAATTTTTTAATTTATTTATTTCCAACTGAACCTTACGAATTGAAAATTTAACTCTTCAAACCACATATAAATAATAAACTTCAAAATTGAATAGATCGGCTCACAACTGTTTTGTTGCTCATTTTAGAATGCCGATGCTGGGGTTCTATTCCTGACAGGAATAAACTTCTACTTCAATATTTCTATAGCCAATTTGATTATCTATCGAAATTTGATTGGTCCCACAAGCCAGTGGACGCCTAATCAGAAATGATAAGCATTATTAGAAAAAGAATTACAAAAAATAAAATTTTAAAATATAAAATATCAAGAATACCCCTTAAAAGACTGCTAAATTTCTAATACAAATCTTACATCAACAAAAATAATGAAATAAAAGATGCGAAAAAAAATAAACCCCATTTTGCTTCCGTTTTGAACAAATGGAGGATCCATACAAATATTAAATCCAGAATTGCGCTTACCAATCAACACCACCAGATCGCATTTAAATTGAACTCTTGCTAATAATTCATTGAAACGAAGAATTTCATAAAGTGTATTATTGAATTTTTGAGGATGCAAAATATCGATATCGTCCCATTTTGGTATATTTTCGTTAATCGTAGCACTGCAAATAAACTCTTAAATCTACTGCTTTTTAAAAATTTTTAATTTCTTTTCCACTGGTTTGCATACTTTCAATTATTTAGAATTATTATAGAATTGGCTTAAATAGACACCGAGTTTGCTGAATGTTTTTTAATAATAGGAACAATGATGAATTAACAATATTGTATTAAATAATTAAGTTTTATGCGTAAAAAATATTTATGAAATACTGATAAAAAGAAAAAAAAATCATCGATTCTATCCAAAATTGGAATATTTCAACAAGTGGTATATCAGCTTATCAATTCCGTACTCTTTCCTCTTTCGAAGAAGGATTTCGCTTTTTCACTCCGCTGACTTATCTTTTTAGGCATATTTTATTCAAGCATCCAGCAAACTTCGAATTTATCTTCGAAAGATGCTTGCTTGCAAGCAAAAGGAATAGAACCACAGCATCGGCGCTCCGAAATGAGAATGCAAACGCACTGAGCCATTTTAACACCAAAAATATTTCTATATGAACAAAAAAAAAAAAAGAATTACCTGAAATGCTTCGAAGGACCTATTATTCGTTGGATTAACTGAACTAAAAAGCCATATTTTTGAATAATTAATAAACCAATTAATAAAATATTTATTAAACGAAGAATTAATAGCGAATTCCAATGCATTATTTTTCTTGATTCTTTTTTTTTCGATATTAAATTACATCGTCGTTAAATATCTAAAAATAGATTAACTTTTACTTTTACTTTTCATAAAGTGAAATATTAAAGAATTTTTGAGTTTTCGAATTTCTACGAATAGAAATTTTCGAAGTTTTTCAAATCTAAAAATGATTAAACGTATCGAACGCGAATATTACAAATGGAGAAAAACTCTTTCAAATTTAAATCTCAAATTGTCAATTATTTATCGCTATTAAAAATAAAATATTTTTTAATATTTCTATAATATTTAATATATTAAAGGCGAAAAAATTAATTGTCAATTAAAACCTAATAAAAAAATTCATTGCTATAAGACAAGGAGGTTAGCGTGGACCACGCTTTGGAACTGCATAGGATGGTACGTGCCAGGGCGGATGGTACGTTACTGCCAAACAGGACGATAATATGCGACGATAAGAAAAGAAAATAAAATAAACCAGATTTTGAGAGACCGTAAAGAGCGGACCGCAGCCGCGCTTTCTTGAAATAAGATTTGAAAATTTGAAAATTCAAATTCTCTTGGAAAAAAGGTAATGGAAATTCTCGAGGTTCTGGTTGGAATGAGTTCGGTGCTCGCCATTTTTGGTTTCACCGGCTTTGCTGATGAGGTCCTTTCCTTTGGAGAAAAGAAAGAATTGGTGTATCGCTTGGACCATACGGATTTCACTTTCGAAGATAAATTTATTCCTGAAAAAAACGATTCGAAAAATGAGAAAAAATATGAAAAAGAACCAAAAAAACCAAAAAAATTAATGCCTTAAGGCAAAGCGACTTAATGTGATTTGGGCGATTATATGCCATGAAGTCGCTTTCGACTCCTAGCGACCATATAAATAAGTGATTTCCAAGGCAATCTCTCACTTTTTCGTTCGAGACTAATATAGGCGCTATCACTTCACTTTATCACTCTATCACTTCATTACGAGTCATCCTCTTTCTTTTTTCTAGCGATTTCCGCAGCCATTCGCAGCAGTTCATCTTTTTCCAGAATTTCCGCATAATATATTCCCAATTTGGACATTTTAGCCCTTTAGCCTTCGAGTTAAAATTCTGGCTACGTTTATTCGTTGATCCAGCGGCTTATTTTTTTCTTAGCTATCCATAATATTCATAGGATTCTTCGCTGAAATGTTCAAAAGCACCGATACTCTTCGTATTTTCCCTCGTTAAAAGCCAATCCAAATCCGGCATCCACAAGGAATCAACTGAAGGCCTTTTTCGGTGACAATCTATGGTGCGTATTTCTTGTAACTGTATTGCTATTTGGCTATTTGGCCATAAAAAGAAGCCATCGAGCATTTCGACTGTAAATTCGAAATTCTAAAGCTGATTGTTCTATATAATGTAATCTTCTTTACATTTAGCTTCAGTTCCATATGTCAGAAAAAATAGTTATTGGCAAATTGGCAAATATAATAAACGTGGTCCCATTTGCCAGTGGAAAGCGCCTTCTTCGCTTTGCTGAGAAGTATGGATTCTGATCAGTTGCCAGTAGTCGATTGTTCCGCGTTACATAGCCTTTCGTACTGCTGAAACTGGCAATCTTCACAAAATTCCACTTAACGACTTGGGAAATAAGGTGGTAAAAGAATGAAAAGGATAAGACAAAAATTGATATTAGAATAATTTAGCCAGATAATGCTATGGATAGAGCCAAGTTCCACGTGAATCTATCAAAAGTTCCATCTATCAAAATCTGACTAACTCAGTCGAATCTCAGTGATATAGGATGTGCAATCCTTCTTCTAATAGTTCTCACCAATACTGGTTAGACTAGCTGCGCTGGCTACGAGAGTCTCCAAGCTGCTCGGTCCGACACCATTGCTAGTAGAAAAATGGTCCAACTGTCCAAGAAAGCTTCGAAGGTTTCCATCATAAGCGATTCTTTCTTAGATAGAAACGGCGTCTGCATTTCATTCCATCAGAGTGAGAATCAGGTTGATCACCTCACCCTTCTAATCAATTAAACCATACTCAGCCAAGAATCTCACGTGATTTTAGAAGAAGGCTATTTTTAAATATTACTGAAAACCAATAATCATTCATGTAACAATTGGCTATTTGTGTATTATTTGTGTATATATGTTGGTCTGTTGGTGCCTATTGGTTTATGGTTCACAAGAGGCAGTCCAGATTGCCTTGTATTACGAGATTTAGAAGGATACAAGGAGAATAAAGAGGTTTAAGGAGATTACGAATGAAAATATTTTTCTTGAAAAAAAATGATTTTCTTCACATCCAATTTTATTATTAGTAGTAGTTTTTTTATAGTTACAAAGAAAAAAAGTAGAAAATTTCCGCGATGACCTTTGACCCTTTGACCTTTGACCTTGATCGTTCACTTCAATTCTAAATTAGAGATATTCTTGTCGATTTTGATGGTTTAAAAACAATTTGCGATTGCTTTAGATTATATATGAATCATCGATGATTCAGCGAACAAATTTTTGAATCTTCCCTTTCATTCAATTTATTCCAAATAACAAAAGGTTGGTTTGGTTTCGTTTGCGATTGTAAATTGTGGTTTCTATTTGACCTTTGAACTTTGATCCGATCTCTGTGGACATTTCTCCGGTGAATATTTTCACATCAATGAGTTAGAACGATAAACTTGTTCGTAAGATTTTTGATTTCCGCGAACCGTAAAAGGTTAATCGCGGGCCGTACGAAGGTGAACAAATTACGGCCGGAAAAATATTAAAATTGTAAAAACCAGATATCGTTTTTGTACGATTCAAAATCAATCAATAAAGAATCGCTATTTGATTTATAGAGTTGTTTGATAGTTGTTTAAAAATCATCCATGAGACATATGATAAATGATTTTTCTAGTTGATTGGAATTTTTCACTCGTTCTTGTTGACCTTTGACACGATGGTACTTCATCACAACTTGTTATTATATCATTTCTGACCTGCCTCGGCGGTCGTCTTTGATCTATTTCTCAGCCTTCCTTTTTTTGGCGTATTTCCTCTCCATATTTGATCTTTCATTTCCAGTCTGTCCCTTAATTTGGTCACCTTTGTCACCTTTTTTGTCACCTTTGACCTTTGGTGTGTTCTTTATACAATAGCATTCACCATTTTTCAGTTAGCTAGATGATTTTTCACCAGAGTGCCTTCACTTGAGGACAAAAATGTTGGAATTCGTTTGGACTTCATTGTTACTGACAAATTTTAACCTGTACTCCTCCGACTCACTAGAGGTTTTCACAGATCCAGTGCCTTTGGTCTTTTATCATCTTCCTTTTATTTTTCTTCCTTTGACTTTTAACCTATGTTTTATATTGGTTTTAGGAGAAATATAGATGAATTCCTTTCATATTTATGGTTTTGTTGTTCATATAAGGAGGACTATCTTCACCATTCCATTATCTTTATCTTTAACCTTTATCACTGTTAAAAGATTAAATTAACGAATCAAATAACATTTCAGCTCATTAATTTCATTAATTTCAGGTTTACATCTGATGTTCTACGTCGATTCGACAGCGAATTAACCAAGTAAAATGGTAATCATTTACTTTAAAAAATTTTTATTGTGGATTCGGATCAGAGATACGGGTTCATTGTGAGTTTGATCTGGGTTCCATTTAGTAGAAAATAGGGGCATAGATTGAGAAAAAAATGGCACAGAATTACCATTAAGATTAAAATTTTAGGCATTTCATTGGCAATCAAAAGGAGATTATCGAAATGTTGGAGTGGATGATATGGTTTTATTAAGTAAACTTAACGAACAAGCAATTGTCGAAAATCTCAAAAAACGGCTTAATGCTAATTACATTTTCGTTAGTTATCTTTTTTTCACGTAATTATCACGTATTACGAGAATTCAGTTGTTAAGTGCGAAAAATTTTCAGACATATATTGGTCCAGTACTAATCGTTGTGAATCCATTCAAAGAAATGCCTTATTTCACTGATAAAGAAATGCAGCTTTATCAAGGTGGTGCTCAATATGAAAATCCGCCTCATATTTATGCTTTAGCTGATAATATGTTTAGGTATTTATTTGATTTGCCTTCTAATTTTAACGGATATTTTTGCTGTGGCTTGGCCCAACTTATTATTTACTGTAAGATTTTGATGCCTCTACAATAACTGACTTGGAAGGATTCACTTCTTTTTCACTGTTTGAACTGTCATTAGTTCATACGTTCTTCCGACCATGTGAATCTTCAGATCTTCAATCATTCCAGTTTGTATATAAAATGATTATTCTTTTAGGCGAAAAAAAAATTAAATATTGAAGATATCTATGATTGTATATAAATTTGATTTTAGAAACATGGTTATTGATAATGAAAATCAGTGTGTTATAATAAGTGGTGAAAGTGGTGCAGGAAAAACGGTTGAAGCGAAATACATTATGGGTTATTTGGCTCGAATATCGGGTGGTGGACGACGAGTACAAGTTGCTTTTTTTTTCAGCTTTCAGCTTTGTTAAGTTCAACTTATAAAACTTTAATTTTATAGTATAGAAGTATTGAAACATAAAATTTCGTCTGGAAAAAAAAATTTATAAAATTTTAGTTAATTTATTAAATTTATTGGACTAAAAATTTAATTTATAATTTTTTATTTCATATTTCAACGATCACTTGATAGATTGAGATTTTTTTAAAGATTTTTTCGGAATTTAATTTTATAATTAATTTTTAATAATAATAATTAATTTAATTATTTTCAATTATTTTTTTACAATTCATTTAATATAGAATTTTATTTATTGAATTTATCTCAGAGTTTTTTTAAAATTTTTGAAAATTTTTTCTAATGCTATTATGATTATAATATCAAATAAATTAAATTTATATTAATGTTTTATTATTAAATTTTTAATATTTTGGTTATTTTTCAGCACATTAAAGATGTAATATTACAATCAAATCCTTTATTGGAATCGTTTGGAAATAGTGCAACAATTCGAAATTGGAATTCGAGTAGATTTGGGAAATATGTGGAAATTATATTTAGCAGAGGGGGAGAACCAGTTGGAGGAAAAGTTTGTCATTTCGTTTTAATTGAAATTCAAAGAATTTTTTTAAATCCAATTTTGCCAGTTTTGTTTAGTTCTTTCTTGTCCTCTACCGGGATTAAGCAAATATTGAAATTAATATTCGAATGAATGCTGGAGACACCTATAGTTCTATTTTTAATTCTTATTTTAATAATCAGAATGGAACCACTAAATCCAGAAGTGCTATTCTTACGAAAAGGTAAATGGGGATTTTACTTAGTTTTCACAACGAACGTTTATAGAAATAAGAATCATTAGGTAAATTAGGCAGAATGCTTTGTGCTTTGGCGTTAAAATTGCAAATTCTCCTCTTTATAAAAACTCCTTCTAAATAAAATTGGTTAAGAAGAAACAGTGATGTGATGTATTTTCTATAGATTGTGGATTATTTTTTAAAGAGTTCTTTTTACAAATAAATTTTTAAATTTTTATTTGAAGATTTCCAATTTTCTTCTCGAAAAATCACGTATTGTACATCAGAATCCTGGCGAGCGCAATTTTCATATATTCTATCAAATTTGTGCTGGAGCTGATAAATCATTAAGAGGTTTCTTTTAAAATGAGAAACTGTGGTCTCTGGTTTAAAAATTTCGGTTTATTTATCAATTATTTATATTCATATATTCAGATAATCTTGGAATAACTACTCCGGATTATTATAATTATTTGAATCATAGCGGATGTTACCAAACTGATGGAATTAATGATGTAAATGACTTCAAGCAAACGATTGTGAGTTTTTTTTTTCACTAAACATGATCAGTTTAGATAACTTACTACTTCTGCTTCTAATAAAAAGCTGTAGGGTGATTGACTACTTTCTCCAAAAGTCTTTTGTGGTTAGAGATAATATTCGAAATAATTCGAAATGATTATTTTTATCTTATATAACTGATGAGTAAAGCTATTGTGAATTGCTTAAATTGAGTAACGATTTGGTGGCATTAACGATTTCTTACTTTATTTATTTATTATTTTTTGAGCATGCAATGGATGTAATTGGTATTGGTAGCGAAATTCAACTTCAAATTTTGCAACTTATCGCTGCAATTTTGCATATTGGAAATATCAATTTTGTAGAAGAAAAAAATTATTCGGCTATCGCAGACGAACAATGTAATCATTATTCATCCGATTTGATGCATGAAATTTGCTGATTGCCAGTGTAATATAAGGGAATGTTTATTCTTCTAAAGAAAGAAATCCAGATTTTTTATATATTTCACTATCTGCACCATTATTTCCATTGCTAATTGGGATAGTTACATTAAGACAATATATAAGTGGAAACATATAACTCATTGTAGGAGGCAAAGGAGGCATATTATCGCAATCATATTTAAAACATAATTTTGAATATAATGTACTTTTTTTCTATCATAATTTTTTTAGTTCTTGAATTTCCTGCATTTCTTTTGGGATTGAAACCGAGCAGTATTAAAGAGAAATTGATCAGTAGACATATGGAAAGCAAATGGGGTAAACAAACCGAACAGATTGACGTTAAATTGAATGTAGAACAATCTGAATTCACACGGGATGCGTGGGTCAAGGATCTTTATACTCGTCTTTTCGATTTCTTAAGTATTTTTTCTCCAGTTATATTTGTTTCAAATTTTTTGATATTTTTGATACTTTTGATATTTTTTATATTTCTTTTAGATATTATCACATATCACCACTCTCTATTAAATTTATGATTTTATCAAATGAATTCAAATATGATCACTTAATCTCTTAGTTTTCGGGCTTTATTATTCATTTAATCATTGATTTGCTGATTAATTTATTATTATGTTTGATTATCCAGTTATTTCAACAAATCGGGCAATGAAAGTAACATCACGTTTATCGGGAGCACCGCTTTCGATTGGTATTCTCGATATATATGGGTTTGAGATTTTCGAGAACAATGGTTTTGATCAATTTTGGTTGGTGCTTCATATTTATTTGGTATGTTTTGAAATTAATGATATGATATAAATGTTGATTATTTTTTTTAAGCATAAATTTCGTCAATGAAAAACTTCAACAAATTTTCATTGAATTGACTCTTAAAGCAGAACAAGACGAGTATATAAGTGAAGGAATCAAGTGGAATCCAATTGATTATTTCAATAACAAGGTTGTATGTGATCTTATTGAGGCAAAAAAACCACCCGGTATCTTCTTTTTTAATTTTTGATTTTGTTCATAGCGAGTAGATCATATCGCTTTGAAGCAGTATTTTAAAATTCTAATTTTGCCGGATATATATCGTATTGTTTTTGATTTCGAATGAAAAATAAAATCTTATAATCTTTATATATAATATATATAATTTTTTTCTGATAAAGATTATATTCCTTCGGAGCCTCATAGAGAATAAATAAATGATGTGATCCGCCAGATTTCAAGTTTATTATTGTCTGAATCAAGAATCTGTATCGCTTTCTGTGATGCGAAAATATAAGATCCAATAAATAGTGGGTGAAAGTTTTGGATTAGGAAATGAATTTTAATATTTTTCAGGTATAATGTGCATATTAGATGATATTTGTTCGCAGAATCATGGTCAGAGTGAAGGAGTAGATGATCAGTTTCTGGTCGAACTTAATAAGCATATGTCATATAATGAACATTATCGTACTGGCGCTGAGGCATTTCTTATAAAGCATTACGCGGGTGATGTAAGTATTTTATAAGAATTATTCGTCAAAGGTTTTATTTTTAATGAGATTTCATTTTATTATAGATGAATAATCTATTCAGGTTGTTTATAATATAAATGGTTTTTGTGAGAAAAATCGTGATACTCTTTACAAGGACCTCATTTATCTTATGCAACAAAGCGATAAGTAAGTATAAATGATAAATAATCTTTTTTTGTGTAAGAATAATTTTTAATATATTTCTTTCAATTTTATCGAGTTTTATTTTATGAGTTTTATTTAAATGATGATGAGTTAGACCGAAAAATTGGTTTCTTATGTAGGTTAAACCTAATGCTAGTGATTTCTAGGCAATTTCTGGTACAAATGTATCCGGAAATAATTTCTTCTGGAGTAAAGTCGAAACCAACCAGTTTTTCATCGAAAATAAGGGTTAATGAGATTAATTTAATTAGATTAATAATAAATAATAAAAAAAATAAAAAAGATTTTTAACTGTCGAGAGCTGACAACATGATTCCTAACTTACAGTATGATATATCACTTTTGCGCGGAAATAACGGAAATAATTTACGAATCTTAAAATTGCTGAGCTAAAGTTTTAATGGAAATTACCTTCTACTAATGAATAAATGAATTGAAAATTAAAGTAGATCGAGAATTATTGACCGTTAAAGTAAAACGAATAATTTAGCGCTCCTAACTATTGTAAAGTCCAAAATAGAAACAAACCACTTGTAGATGGAGACGATTTTTTTTTCTTGTAAAAGTTGGTACTTCATGTTGAACAATCTTTGTCTTTTTTATGACTTTTGCTTCATCTTTCTATCTTTACTTTCCAGCCTATTAATTCATTTTCGTCCATAATTATTAATAATTGTTTTGTTCATTTCTTTGTTTTTTTCAAAAATTTGTAGATTTTTATTTTATATCTTTAATTTTATATTGCTTTAAAAAAAACAGAATTTTTTGGAAAATTTTTATTTCAGAGTCAAGCAAATAATCTGATCGATTCATTGAGTAAATGTTCACCTCATTATGTTCGCTGCATTAAGCCAAATGAAACAAAACGTCCATTAGAATGGGATGACAGAAGGTAAATATAGGAATTGCGTGAATAATTTTTTTCCAATTTTAAACCAATGGTTTTTGTATTTTGTTTATTTTTCAGGGTTTTACATCAAGTGGAATATCTAGGCCTTAAGGAAAATATTCGCGTCCGCCGTGCTGGATTCGTTTATCGTAGATTATTCGAGAAATTTTTATATCGATATGCCATACTTTCTGGGGAAACATGGCCAAATTATAAGGGTGATCCACGAAAAGGTACTGAGGTCCGTATTTATTTCCATTATTTTCCATTATTTTATTTTATATTTATTTGATTTAAATCCTCGATCCAATATTATCACTAGAATCTTCATTTGCATTGAATTGATTTTGTAATATTAAATTAACCCTTTTTGTCCGTGCTCGATGTTTCTAACGGCATTTAATCTCAAAGGTGAGATTTCAAATTTCCCAGTTTATAAATGGTCAGATGGAAAGCTCATGCTTCTTAAACCACTAACTTTTAAAGAAACAGCGTTAAAACCAACATTTTTTTCAAAATTAAAAAAATTTGTTTTATGGATGGGTAAATTTTCAAATATTAGCATACTTGGCTTTTCACCTCAAATTTCCTTAACACGCTCGATCTTTGAAACGTTGTTTTCTTATCGGCCATATCGCTGTAATTCTCCCATAATTCTCCCATAATTCTAACCAACTCCTGCTGTATTTCTTTCGACACCAGCTGTCGTCGCGATGCAATATATTCGTGATAGAATATATTTCTCAAAATAAATAATAGTTGAAATAAAATTCGCTCTTTGCAAGAGTTTTTTTCTGCAATAACGGAAATATGCCTCTAAACGTATCTGACAATGAATAATGAGGTACTCCATTCTTTTTCTCTATCGATATGGCTTCAGTGCCATGTACAAGCACATACTTTGTTAAATTTGTATCTCCATCGATGTGGATTCAGTGCTATGTACAAGGACATGCTTTGTTAAATTTGTATGGTTGCTGGCAAGTGCTGGCATTCGCCATTTCCTCCAAGAGATCTTCCACAGAATTTAACATAAGGCTTGCTACTTGGACTATATCTATATCCATATTCTCGGATTTTTTTCTTGTATTCGGATTCGGTTTCTCTTAGCGTGCACTGATATAGAACCGATATTGTTTAACGATAAAAATAACAAAAAAATTTTCTGGTTGAACTAAATTTGAAGTTCAATTAGCCATTCATTTTTCACTGTATTTGTGTTTTATCGAAACCTATTGCAATTGTTCGTTAATTTGTGAAGTCTTTGTTATGACTTGCAAGAGTCATTCGATTTTTTACATAATTTTAGATAATCTGTGCAGCTGTAAATATGGATAAGGACCAATATCAGTTGGGCAGAACGAAAATATTCATCAAAAATCCAGAATCAGTGAGATTTTTTTCTTCTTGAAATCCTCCTAATCAATTTTTGTTGATTTATCAATGGTAAGAATGATCAACAAAATATTTTAAATTTGGCAGTTTTCAGTTATTTCTGCTTGAAGAGTCGAGAGAGCGTAGGTATGATGGTTTTGCAAGAATTATTCAAAGGGCGTTCAAAAAGTTTAACGCAGAAAAACATCGTTCTAAAATGAAAGTTAGTAGTTAAAGATAAAAAGTTTGTACTTCTTCCTATTTCTATCCCAAAGTGCCAGACAAAAATTTCTCTCCCTCTTTAACAGCTTCGTTAAATTTATATTTTCCACTGGATTCTTCTTTTTCCAGCGTTCACCATTTCTTCCAGGCAATCTTCCAATAATTTGTTATAACTATCAATATAATATAATACAAAAATTAAATGACTAATTTTCTACGATCGGTGTTTAATGAATGTGGTTTGGTATTTGAAATGTCTGATTGATAATAATTCATTTAGGAAGAGGCATGTGATTTACTTTATGGCAAAAAAGAACGACGAAGATTTTCTATAAATCGAAATTTTGTTGGTGATTATATTGGTTTGGAACATCATCCTGCGTTACAAATTTTAGCTGGAAAAAAAGAACGAATTGCCTTTGCTGCAACTGTGAACAAATATAATCGAAGATTTAAAGTATATCTTTTATTCACTGCCACAATTTCTTTTCATTTTTTTTTCGCACTTTTTATTGCTTAGTTTCTTTTTTCCCATTGCATGGTTTTTTTAGGCATCCAGAATTGATCTCATTGTTACATCTCAAAATATATTATTAATAGGACGCGAAATTGAAAAAAATGGAATTAACAAAGGAAAACTCGTCGAGGTATTTTTTATAATAATTTTTTATAACATGTACGTTGATTGATGTAAGCGATGTTGATTAATTGATAGTTTTTTCCTTATTATTGTATTTATTTTAGATACTTAAACGCAAGATTTCCTACGAAAATCTACTGAGTATCGGGTTAAGTCTATATCAGGATAATTTCTTAATATTAAATGTGCGAGATGATCATGTTTCTTTGCTAGAAACTCCTTTAAAAACTGAATTCGTTATTACAGTCAAGTACGTCATTGTAATTTTTAATTTCTAAAGCAATTTTTACATTTAAAATGGTAAATTTTTAATTTTTACGTATATATTTTATGTATTTTTTTCAGCAAAAATTATACTGAATTTACAAATGGCGCAGTTGTGCCACTGGAATTCCGATCTTCATTCCAGTTAAACTTCAAAAAAACTTGGTTCGATGGTGGTGCTAGAATGGTGAATTTTGTCAAAAGTGAAGCAAATACGGATTCAACTCAGCTTCACACCAAAGGGAAAACTTTATTTGTCCACATTGGGCCAGGCTTACCAAATAACTCAAGTAATTTTTATTCAAATATTTCAAAAAATGGACAATTAATTTTTGCTTATTGTTCAAATATTAATTAAGGAAGTAAATAAATATTAAATTAATATCAATTAATATCAAAATATTAATAAAATTATTAATTCTGCTTGGATTAAGATATTTATTTTAATTGTAAAATGTTATGCTTGAATTAAATTGGAAATATGACTATATCATTTTTTTTCTGGCTTATTTCTTCTCAATTTAATTTTTAGAACCAGGCCTACAAAAAACAGGTTTTGTCGGCTATGTTCAAAAGAAGAATAATTTACGTTCTATGCATAATCGCGCCTTGTTAAATAATCACTTCGTGCCATCAGCACACGATTCATCTGTTAATGCTCATCGAATTTATCCAGCATCGAACAATGTTTTTAAAGAATTCATTTATAATTCGTCAATATTTTCCATTAAATTTAATATTTTCTTATGTTTTAGGTCAAAAAAACTTCTATTATCACAAAGATTTTTAGATTCATAGAGGAAAAGAGGCAACAAGGCAACCAAAACCACCATTAAAACCCAAACCAGCATTCTTAGTTGAAGCTTTGTATCCATACGATGCACAAGATACTGACGAACTCTCTTTCGATACTGGTGATAGATTTGAACTTATCAATAAAGGTTTTTTACACTTTTCTGCTATTATTATTTTAATTTTACTTGATTTATTCCTATTATTATTTTTTATTGATTATATTATCGTTTTTATGACATAATATTATTGTTATTCTCGTTATAATTTATTTTTTCTTATTGTGACAACTGTTGTATTATTATTAATTATTGTTGTTAATTTTTATTTAGCATTGTTATTGCTATTTTAATTTTTCTTATCACCCAATATTTTTATTCTTTTCAATGATATACTATTTTTTGATTATTAAGCTCTTAATTTGTTTTAGATGCTTCTGGATGGTGGCAAGGGCGAATGAATAATCGAACAGGATTGTTTCCTGGGAACTACGTGAAGGAGTTGTGATTTAATTTATTACGGGTTTCATTTTTGTCGATTTTCTAGTTAATACATCCTCTAGTCACTTTCACTTTCTCTTACAGATCCTAGAATCAGCATTTTTAATTGGCAAATTTTTTTTTCAAATTTTGTTTTTGTTTTCGATATTTTTTGTTTATTTCATTATTGAACAATATAATTTCCAAGTTCTTTTATATTTTACGTTTTTTATAAATATTTTAGATAAAATGTTTTGGAATAATCTTGCATGTTATTATAATTTTTTATTTGTAAAAATTGCGAATTATTCTTTATCTATCAACTGGTTTGTTAATATTATCAGTAATTTATACATATTACATATAAACATATTATTCTATTCACTGTTTTCATCTAATATATTGTCCAACATTTCCCTTATATTCACTTGTATTTGTTTGTATCTCTGAACTATTAATGCGATCATTTCTAATTTTATTATTAAAATATTCCTGAAAATTTGTGCCAATTTATATTTTAAATTTGAAGACCTTATATATTATTGCAGATAATAGAAATCTGCAATAACGATCGATTGTGATATTAGAACATCTTTTTATCTTTATTAATTCTCTTATTTTTTCCTGTTCTTCACTTGTTTTAGTGGATTATAATTCAATAAATCAACAAAATAATTCCTTAGTGCTATTTTGATCTAAAAAAAATTTCAGATAATTTATGGTCATAAAAAATATTAGCTGATTATAAGCGATCGATTATCTTTTCTGCGTTTGGAGTCAATTAATTGCTATTATGTAATATTTAGATTTCTAAAAATTTGCCTAGCCTCATATCTGAAGTAAGATAAGTCTGGATTTGGATTTGTTTTTCTTCCTTTATTTCCGTGTCTTTGAAGGATTTAAAGCTGTCATAGTATGCGAAGGTAGCTGCTCTATGCTTACCTGTAGCTCTAGCTCCAAGTGTTTCCATGGTGAAAGAGTCTGGTCTTATGCATCTTCCAATGTGCATGATACCCTCAGCACGGTGATGCATGGGATAAATATAATCCGAGCGTCTTAAAAGGATCCCAAAATATGAGAATAAGGAATTCAAAACGATAGATTATCTATTTTTTCGGCTGAATATAGATGAATCGCTTGTGCCGTATATTTGCAACTGCGAACTGCTTAACAGAGCAGGAAGTAGAGAATAGTTTTGAAAGTTTAGCCAAAAATATCAAAAATTTATTCGAAATAATCATGGACAGCATCGTTTGTTATTGTGTATATATTTTTTGATTAATAATACTTTTAATAATACTTGATTAATGATACTTAATTTCATATTTATAATATTTTTACCATTATTATTTATTTTATTCTTTGTTATTTTATTTTCGCAATTATTTATTATTATTGTTAATATTATCATTAATTACTTATTATCATTTTTTTATCATTTTATTATTACTATTATTACTATAATAATGATAATTGTCAAATTATTGTTAGTTTTTATTTTTCGCATTTTTATTTTTATTTTTGACCATTTATTATTATTATTATCATTATTATTATCATTAATCGTTATCATTATCGTTAATTATAATTTTTAATTAAAATTTATTAATTTTATTCTAGTTATTATTATTTGTTTTTCGTTAACATTTTATTCATTCATCATTAATTACTATCATTATTAATAAATATTTTCTTTATATTTTTTATATTTTTACCTGTTCTTTAAGGCTATTAATATGAAATATTATGTTGGGCATAATTTTCTAAAATTTTTATTCTTATTTATTTTTTATAGAATCAGTTTTCACACTTTGATATTCTGTATTAATGGATTTCATTTCATCTGCTGTCGACACCACTGCGGAATCCTTTGCTTGGTCATCGACGTCGAACCTTACTTGCTTCTGATCCAACATATCCATTCGCTTTTGCTCGACATACGCACTGTCTTTGCGTGGTTCAAAAGGACTTTGATCTAATGGTTTTATATAATCACTGATTGGAATTTGGCGAGCTTCTATATTGTTTTCAGGTTTAGCAACATTAAAATCGACTCCGCTTTTCTTTTCCGATTTTGGAATAGTAAGGTTTTCGATTTCACTTTCTTCTTTAGATCCATGAACAGCAACAACTACTTCTTCTTTCCTTTTGGCTTCATATTGAATTGGAATAGTTCGTTGACGGGATTCTTGAAAAGATTGTGTGAGAGGTACGGATGAAACGGTTTCATCTAGTTTAGTTGTGACTTTTTTCATTTTTTTCGAATCATGCTTTTGTGGCGATTTTTCATGGATAGTTCTCGTTGGAAAAGTGGTCATAGGAATGGTTCGTCGCTGATCGCTGGCATATCCAAAACGTATAATATTAGGTCTTATCATCTACAAATAATTATGGAAATGAGGCATATATAAACAATGGTACGATTAGCGTGTTTATCAATTCAAGCAACACAGTTTTCATCGTTATTGGTAATAAATTATTGAATCTGGATTTTATTAGAGGCTCTTGATTAAAGGGTTCCATTCTAGCATACAATGGTACCAGACAATCCAGAAATACCCAGTAAAGAGTTGGAAAGAATGAATGCACAATGGTATTCATAATTACCGAATAATTAAATAATTACACTAGGCTAAGAAATGATGAACTCTTTTGAAACGCTTTTATCTATTGCTTACTGCTAACTATTGAATATGATGCATAGGTTGTTCCACAGTACATATTCGAATCTCACTTTTAATGGCGGATTTATACTAGTCAAGATAAATAAAATCTGAGGTACCTAATTCTTATTGCAGATCATTATTGTTATTATTATACTTTTTATATTTATTTTTTTTTATTTCATTGCCTTAAGAATAATGTTAACCGTTGGAAAAAATCCCGAACATAGAAGGAAACAAATTGGTAGGCAAATTAATAGGATAATAATGATAAAACTACCTCCAAGCCATGGACCTGAAAATTATATTTTTTTTTATCATTTAACCACAGTTCAGCACTGCGAAAAATTCCATGCTAATAAATTTCGAATCAAACAAAAAAAAAAAGTTTCATAAATATATTTCCACATGATTGCCACAATATCTTTCATTCAAAATCTTGGAATTTGTAAAAATATTTGTAAAAACACCATCTATTAAATAAGGCTTATGGCAGCCATTGATATTTATTATTATTATCACTATTATCACTATTATTATCCTTATAATTAATATCATTATGTAGTTAATATCATTATAATTGTTATCAATACTAGTTATTATTATTACAATTTTATTGTTATTATTATAAATGATCTTTTTTTTAATAATAAAATAATATTTTAAAGAATAGGAAAAAGATTAATTAATTGGTTTTCATGAACGATCGTAAATCGAATCCTAATGAATCTTAAAGTGATTTTGTGGTACTTGAAGATTGATATCAGTTCATTGATAATTATTTATGATACCTATTAGATGAAAGAAAGAAGAAAAATGAAATCAAACCATAATATCCACCGTAAAACGGTAGCCAACCATAAGCCTGCGGGTATACGATAAAACGATAATGTTGTCCAAAATCATGTTCGTTGTACTGATGACAATAGACTTGTCCACTATTCGGTTGATATGAAAAATATGATAATTGATAAACGCCTGGTTGTGCATTTAAATTTGAGTCCACGTATGAGCTTGTTTTCTCACCAGGTTTTTGGCAAGCAATTTCAAGGTGAATCGTTTCATTTGTTTTATTTATTTTCATGATGCAGTAGTTTACTTCTGCTGTGTGCTAAAAAATTTCCTTTCTTTATTCTCATTTTTCTTTTCCTAAGAATACTCAACATACCTATATCCATATCATGTGAGGCTGGTACCATTGGTTTCTAGGACCAGACAAATTTTGTCAAGAAGTCATCTGATGATAGCATTATTGGTGAATCGCCAATATTACCAGGATTTTTGGAAGATAGCTCTTTCTGTAGGGAATAGAAACCTATTGGCGCTCCAAAATGAGAATAATTAATCCATACTACTTTTTGCTCCCACTAATGACTATTTCCATGATTAAATAAAATTTCTAAAAAAATTTTTTCGATAGCAATTTGAATATCAAATGGAACTTTAATCATACTAGTTATTTCTCCAAATGATACTAAATTAAATATTAAAATTATACTAAATTAAATATTAATATATTAATAATTTTTTGTCCAGAGAAGAAAATATCATACAAAACTCGCCGTATTATTTCTTCCACATTAAATTCCAATTTCCCCATAACCACTTTCATATCCATTGTTGTCTTTCGTTTTAATGTCATAGCAACAATCTCCTTTTAGACCCAATCTTTTTTTTTTTTTTTTAAGGGCCCAGCATTTAGTTAGACTCATTTTATTGGTCTGTTGCACTGGACAAATATGCCCGGGAGTCTTTTGGCGATAGAAGAATAAGTAAGCCGCCAGCATCACTCAGATTTTTGGACAAGTTCATTTCCGCAAGGAACCTCAACATTGGTGCTATAAACTAAGCAATAATTCACTGAGCCATTCTAATCTCAGGCCCAAATATATTTGGCTATATTTCCTTACTGGGAAACTAATTCGAAAGCTAGCTACATTTTGCTATGCCCCATTACCTTATATTACCTTAAGCTTACGCTTTTTATTATCGTCGCAGATATACACCACAATACTCCCTTGATGATAGTCTTTTTAGAACCGATTATCACTCCAAAAAATACCCTTAAATTCTTTATTTTCATCAAATCCAACTAATTTTTTTCCACAGATTCATTTCTGATTCTCTAAAATATGGTTCTTTGTATATTTTCTTAAAAAATCTACTAGAATTCCTGAAAAACCTCGACTTACTGTAGTGAAGTTGGCTGAACTATATTGAATATCTATAAACTAGTGAGATCTTCCCCAAGGTGCAAGTTTAACGTCTCTGACTTTTTGTCTTAAAATGTCGTCTTAAATTCACTTTGGCCTCTATAATTCCCTGGGATTTTAATCCTTTAATATCTCTATTTTTTTCTTCTAAACCCACTTTCCTTCCCTTAGACTAATGGAATTTTTCTATAACCTCAATTACGATTATTGAATCGTTTTCTGCTAATGTTAAATGTTAGCGGGATGGAATAGATTCCAATCTTTTCAACTTCACAATCATTAAAAATAAAATTTAGATAAATGTTGAACGGCCACTCATATCACTATCCTCTATCCACTGATAACGAAATGACCATACATTATGAAGTGGTAATTTGTTCCTAGGCTTTTCGTTCTACTATATATCAATAATATAAGAAATAATTTTAGCTGGGAAATATTTGACGATTAAAATGGACGGTGGTTGGTAAGCATCGAAATTTTTAGTAATGCGCATTTAAAGATTTCTCTTCTCAGTGATTTCTCTCAGTCACACACAAACTTGGCCCGAATAGGCTCGGAATTTAGCTAATTTTTGATTTATAAAATATATGAATGATATTGGAAAAAATTTTAACCGAAATATTCCTTCGACTCATTTCATTTCCATTTAAATTACTTTGATTTGTTGGACAAAATAAATCGAAAAGAAGTTCGTTGCCATAAAATTTTGTTAATTCAGTTTGACAAATTTTTTTTTCCAGTAATTCGATCATTTGGAATAAATTTTTCATCTTTAAACTATTTTAATTATGAATTATTAAATTTTTTAATTAAAAATATTAATTTCAATTATTTTCATCCAAAATTCTAATGTATTAATGAACTTAGAATATAAACATGTCGCAAGAAAATGTGGGTATTGATGTGGTACTCGACTATATTTTTAGTACCACTTGGCTCCGTGGGAGTGAGCCAGACGAGGAAAAGTGAGGCCTGTTTACAGCATCACCATGGATGAATGAACAAGGTTCTTCTTTTCTTCCTTTTTTTTCCTCCTTTCTTCCTTTGATCTTCCTTTCCTTCCTTTGATTCTCTTTTTAATCATAGTATTTTAGAGAATCATTAAGAAATAAAAGCTATGATAAGTTAGCACCACTGGATTCGATTTTTACCGATAGATTTATTGCCTTTAAGGGAAAAGAAGAACCTTCGCTGCTTGACTTGAAATATTTGTTCATCAATCAACCAATCACCTTTCTCACCTAAGCTTCAGGCATTAAACCATTGAATTGTTATTCAATCCTCCATTAATATAATTTTATAAATATTAATTTTAAATATTTTTTATTCCAAAACAAAACAAACTTACATCATCATTAGATATCGACAATTTTCTAATATTCATATTGATAATTTCATTCAATGAATTTGCTGGTTTATAGATAAATAAAAATAGAAAAACAACCGAGCTAAACGATATCATTTCGAAAATTATTGAAAAAAATTTTTAATTTTTTTAAAAATTTGAATTCATTCACAAACTTCATAAACCAAAAAATTTTAACATTATTTTTTTTATTGATATTTATTTATTTATTATGAATTTATTTATTTTTTATTCAAATTTTTTAAATCAACACAATGATATATCAAAAAATATATATTAAATATATATAAAAATATATAAATATTTATAAAAAAGATAAAAAATAAAATCAATCAATATTAAAAGAATAGGAAAAGGCCTAATTTCAGACGGGGCCTTAAATAAAAATAGTTGGAAATGCCTTATCCAATTAATCATTGGAGCCAATCAAATCAGAAGTGAACCAGGAGAGGCGAATAATTATATTGAAACAATTCACTGATCCTTTACGAAATATAATTTAAATCATACATTTAAGGCCACATAATTTAAAATTCCTTCGAGTTACGGATTAAGATCCACCATCTCCTCACAAAGTCCTAAAACGTCACAAAATCCTAATCGCGAATAATAAAAAAATCCCCGCACCACCGCTCGCTCGACTGTAACCAATAACCTAAAATGTCTAAACTTTTATGAGTGATACGCTTAGCATAATTGAGTGGCCAAACATATGTTTTTCTGCAAATTTAAAATTTAATAAAAATAATAATTATATCAATTATAAATAAATATTGTTTTTATTAATAAATACAAATTTAATATAAATATCTCATGATTTTATAAATAATATTTCTCAATTTTTCATATTTTGTACTTCTTTTGGTTTAAATTTGAATTCTGCGAATAATTAATTATTCAGTTGAGACGACGTAGCGAAAATCGCGAATATTGTGCGATTAGCGCAACACAAATAAGCGAAACTCGAGATTTCGTTTTTTATTTTTATTTTATTTTATTTATTTTATTTCTATTTTATTTTAATTTATTTTGCTATTTAGTGCGATTTGAATTCATTCAATTTATCATGTTAATAAAAATTATTATTAAATAATTTTTTAAAATTAATATTTAAATTTATAAATTAAATTTAAAATTTAATTATTTTAACAAACAAAACTCGAAAAAATGAATGAATAAAAAAATATGAATTTGTGAAATATGAAAAAATATGAATAAATAAATTTTAGAAAACGAAAGAAAACCTATTTAATGCAAATAATGCAAAATATTTGAGCTAATTAAAAACTAAAGTATTTTCGTTGGATGGAATGTTTTAATTGCCTGCCAGAGCCAATCAATCGAAGCAGTAGTGCGGCAATCTGTTGGAAAGAAGACGAGGACGAGGTTGACAGCGATTGACAAATAATTAGGATAGGCAATTGTTTCCAGGCGAATTGCAATGATGGGCAAAAATTTTGTATAAAAAATTATGCTTTATTATAAAAAATTTATTGCAAAAAAAAAGATTTTACAAAAAGTCACAAAAATTAAAATATTAAAAATTTTTAATTTTCAATTGAATAAAATAATTTTCAAAATTTTCTTTAAATATATTTTCTAAATATATTTACAGAAAAATAATTATTAATAAATATAAATATTAAAAATATTAATAAATAAGTAAATTAACTTTTTTATTAATAATAAAAAATGAAATTTATTAAAAATTAACAAATATTAGAAAATAATAATTTTTGAAAAATTTCCATAGGTGATTAGCGCGATTAAAAAATTTTTGCTACACTCTGCAACACTCTGCAACAAGGAAAAGCGACTGAATCGCCAGTCGCTAGTCTCAATTGGGCTTTTTAATAATAAGCTTATTCGTGTCGCATGCAAAAGCCAAACCTTAGCTTTTCGACGGAGTAATCTGACACAGTAACTCTATCCACTCGGTTATTCTATCCACTCGAAAATTTATGTATTTATGAATGTGGTTCAAATAATTCTATTTTTCCAAAGATTTATAGATTTATCTAAGAAAAATCGCAACTAAAACCACCATTAAAACCCAATTCAACAATCTTACTTTATATCCATTTATATCCATTTGATGCACTGATGAACTTTCTTTCGGTACCGGCGATAGATTCGAACTTATCTTATTGATAAAGATTTAATTTTATTGATAAAAATTTAATTTTCCTTGATTTATCCTATTATTGCTATAATTTTTTACTAATTGCATATCATTATAATTATTTTACTTTTACTTTAATATTGTTATTATTGTTATTGTTATTTTTATTTTCTTTTTCCAACAACTCTCACCATTGCTGGTTATGCTGGCCCCGCTGGCTATAAGGCTTTTTTAAGCTGCGCCTACTGATACCATCTTTGGCAGTAATTGAAGCCATTTCTTTTTTCGTCGTCTAAGTTCATATACCGCAGGTGCTTCTGTACGTTTAAATTCTTTTTTAACTGTTTCAGACCAGGTTTTGATTGGTCCACCTCGTTTTTGATGCCAACCATTACGAGGTTTAGCAAATAGAGGAAAATGTATTAGCTCCCATGATTATCATAATTGTAATATTAATAATTATTATCACACTACTGTTATTATTATTATTATATTTATCATCGATATCCTATTCTTTGATTGTCTGCAAAATAGATCATTTCTGATTTTTTTATATTATTTGCATTTTATATTAAATTAAAATATATTTTATATTACATATTAAATTTAAATAAATTTGTTTTAAAAATTTAAAATATGCCAATTTATAATTTTGGACTTATCGAATATTATTTCAAATTATTAAAATATAAAAGTGACGATTATAATGTTACATTGGAACTATTTTTATTTTTGTTAATTTTGATATCTTTTTCCTGTTTTCCACTTTTTTCAGTGGATTATTGATTAATAAACCAACAATGTCCTTAAAGATTCTATTTTCCCTAAAGCTATTTTTACCTAAAATAAATCTGAGATAATTTATGGTCTAAAAAAATAAAAATTTTGGTTACTTATCACCGTAAGCATTAATTCCATTATTGTCCGTCACAAAACATATAATAAGCTTTTCAGTATTAATTTAGAAAATATTTTATTCATTCGTAACTTTTTTTGTTGAATAGTTAGTTCCATTGCCACAAAGATGGCACTTTCTTTTAATCGAAAAGTATAGATTTCCGGATAATATGAATTGGCGGAGAAATAAAGTAAAAAGTAAAATAAAGAAAATTTTATTCCTTCAAGTTAGATTCATGGAAATTTAAGAACACATAAAGGATTTCTGGAAAATTTTTTCCATGACTTCGCTATAAATTTTTTTTCGATTATAATTTTCGAATATAATACCAATAAAAAAAATATTTAGAAATTTCTCACTCTGAAGATATTTAATATTAGAAGACTATCATAAAATGAATGATTAATATTCAGTGATCATGAAAATTTAATTATAAAATTTATAAAATTTCGAATGAACTTAGATAAAATGGCCTTTAATTCAGTGCGCTGATGATGGGGCTCTACTTCAAATATGAAGAAATCTATTTTTAAAAAACCCAGATGATACGGGGATCCACATATATAATTTTATCACCAAGTAAAATTTGTCTCATAAGCCAATAGAGCGAGCCTAGACAGAAATGGTTTTGATCTTGATTTTAATTCAATTTTTGCCCTTTTGTTGGACTCTTATATAATTGAATTAATTTTAAATTTAGATATATATAGTGATAAAAGTTATCATTTTTGTTTCTGCAATAAATTTATGATAGTTTGGACGAAAATTTTAAAAATTTTATTTAATGGTAAAATTCGTTCGATAGAATCATAAACAGGATTTGTTATTATTATTTGCATTAATACTATTATTATTAATATTATTTTATTATTTATTATTACCATTATTACTATTACTACTGTTAATCACTACTATTAAATACTGTTATTTATTGGCATTAATTACTACTATTATCATTATTATTGCTGTCATCATCAATATTTTATCATTCATTATTATCATTATTATTATTTTATCATTAATTATTATTATTCACAACTATTATTAATTTTTAATTTAATTTTTAATTTTTTATTAATTTTTATTATTTTTAATTGTTGTTGATTGTTGTTATTACTATTAAATACTTTTGTTTATTATTATTATTAACAGTCATTGTTATATGATTTATTTTATTATTATTAATAAATAATATATATTTTATATTTTTTACCTATTTTTCCAGGCTATTTTTTTGAAGAGCAATTATCATTGCTGGTTGGACTCGCTTCGCTGATTTATCGAAGCAGACAAGTAGTCTTTCGGTGATAGAAATAAATAAATAAATAGGTTGCCGGTACCGCTTGAATTTTTAGATAGGTTTATTCCTGCGGTGAGTAAAACTTCATGAGCATTGCTGGCATCCCTTAGACTACACGGCTAGCGTCGGCTAGATTCGAACTCAAGCCACGATTCTCGATAGTTCAGTTATTTTCCCACTGAGCCCATAACTATTTTTCTAGGATGTTATCGGATGAATCCTTCTAAATCTTTATTTTAGTCGTTTAATTAAAGATTTGAACATAAAACAAATGTTTGGCATAGATGCTTAAAGGATTTTATAAAATTGTTGCTGAAATTTAATCCGATTTTTCTTATAAATTTTTCAATTTCTCAATGGATTTCATTTCATTGCGTTGTGGTCCTTTACATCGAAGTCAAACCTTTTCAGTTTCTGCTCGATATATACGCTCCTCTTAGGTTGTTGAAGAGCTTTTTCATCCATCGACTTTATATAATCGCTTATTAGAGTTCGTTGATCGACTCCGCTCTTTTTTACGGACTTGAAAATATCAACATCGAGCTTACTTCCTTCTTTAGATGCATGAACACCTTCCGCTTCCTTTTTGAGTCGAAGAATATGAGATTCATCGAATTGCATCGCAGCATATTCGCTTTCTTTAGAAGGTTGAGTTGGAGCTAGAGAAGAAATGGTTGCGTCTCGTTTAGTCGTTGTAATCTGCGATTTTTCCTGAACTCTTCCTGTAGATGAAGTAGGCACATGAGTAGTTTGTCGCCGATCGCTGACATATCCAATTCGTTTAAGATGAGATATCTAAAAATAATTTTAGAAATGAGTGACAATTTTACGATCATCTAGCAACATAGTTCGGGATTGGCTTCATTTTTAATGATAAATTTATTAAATCAAATCAAATAACCAGTCAAAGCAAATAATCTCTCGTGCATATAGTTCTTATACAATTAATTACTGTTGTTCTATTATCATTATTTTCATAATAATAATAATTATTATTATTTTCATAATTATTATTTTTATAATTTTTTTATTTTTATGATATATTATTATAATTTTTGTATTAGTTATTACTATTATTTTAATTATTTTAACAATGATTCTAAATTCTAACCTTTGGGAATAATCCAGGAAATAATTTATAACAACAAATAAAAAAACAAATTGGTACGCAAATTAATAGAACGATAAGGAATAAAATAACACCAATGCATGCACCTGAAAATAGCAATAAATTTCGAGCCTAAGGAAATTATCACAAATATATGATTACCGCATGATTGCCATATTTCCTTCGAAAATCTTCGAATTTGTGAAAAACTATCTATTAAAAGAGATTTATAAAACTATTGGATATTTATCACTGTTATCACTATTATTTATCAATGTTAATACTATTTATTATATTTATTAATAATTACTATTTTTATTGTTATTTGCATTGATTTCGTAATTAATAATTATCATTGCCGTTAACATTATTTTATTATTATTATTTTATTATTTTTATTATTTCTATTATTATTGTTTTTGTTAGTTATTACTTCTATTATCATTTAATAATAAAATAATTTTCGTTAGCTTTATTAGTTAATTTATCAATTCCCTTAATGAATTTTAAGAGGAATCTTCCTTAGTAATTTTGTGATAATTAAATGTTGCACATCGATTTGATCGAGCGATAATTAATGATAATTAATTTATGATGCCTATTAGATGAAAGAAGGAAGAAAAAATAAGTCGAACCATAAAATCGAAAATAAAACGGTTTCCAAGAAAGTGTATGCGGGAATAAAATGAAACGATAATGATCTAGAAAATTATGTTGATAATGCTGATAACGATGAATTTGTCCATCATTCGGTTGATATTGATATAATAAATGATAAGCGCCTGATTGTATGTTTGTGTTTATGCTTGTTTCTTCGCCGGGTTTTTCGCAATCAATTTTAAAATGAATCGATTCTTTTGTTTTATTTATTTTCATGATGCACTGGGTTACTTCTATTTGCTAAAAATTTCCATTCCTTATTTCTTTTTTTTCTTTCTTAGTATACTCATCAAATCTGGTGACGCTGACACCATTGGGCTTGTCGGACCAGACATACACTTAATGGTAGAATTATTGGTGAATCGCCAGCGATACCCGGATTTTTGAAAGACATATTTATTTTTGTGGGGAATAGAATCTCACTGGTGCTCTAAATTAATCCACTACTTTATTATCACCAAGATGGATGGCCTCTTTGTTTCCATGAAATTTTGAAAAACCCGTAAAAATTTTCTTCAATTATCATTCGATAATAATTAAAATCAATTGGAACTTTAGTGATATTAAACACTGAGTTATTTTTCTAAATTATATAATTCTTTGCCTATATATGCTTAGAAAAAAAACTATATCCATGCAAAACCCGCCTTATATTTTACGAAACCCTTCCTTTAAATACTCTTTTAACACTTCTTCCTCACCAACTTCTCATTTTTCCTTTTCCGTTGTTCTTTAGATCCCTTTTATCCAAATGTCTAACCACCATCCACATTTTATATTATATTTCCTATATGGAAACCGACTCGGAATAATCTGCATTCCACGTTACCTCATTAAATTCTTTTGCTATATCCAATCAGTGGAACCACATTTGCCTAAAGCCGTATCTAATATTATCTTAATTCCCTAGATATCGCTTAGCTTATTAACAATTTTCATAGAACCGCTTATAATTTCTCCCCAAATCTCTTTAACTTCTTTAATCTCGAAGTGGTGTCAGTGATCCTCTGAAATATTTCAAACTGTGCTACTGTGCTTTTTATTACAACAAAGTAGTATTCTGTAAAAACCCACTATAATGCCTAATAAAGATTTCATGAAACCCATTTTTTACGATCTCCCTTAATCTCGCTGATGGCCCTTATTATCTCCAATTTTGGTGTGCTTTTTTTTGCATCATCTTAAAATTTCTTTGGCCTCTTCAATTCCCCAAGAGCGATTTTTATCCTTTAATATTTGCATTTCCTTCCCAAAACCTTCCCTTTTATCCTTTAATATTTGTATTTCCTTCCTCAAACCTTCCCATCATCAAATCAATACGATCATTGTTGCCAATAAAAAATTGTAAAGATATGATTATGAAAAGATGGGATCTGGATGAAGAGGTTTATATTGGCAGTCAAAAATTATGGAAGTTGGATGAGGCATATCAACAATGAGTTCGAAGGCGCACTAAGGAAATATAAGAAATCTTTTGGTGATATCAATGGTTATCTTAATTTTTAAAGAAAATTACACCATTTGTAGGGATTTTTTTCTTGCGAAAAAATACGAAAAATCAAAGCTGCTAAAGGCGAATAGAATGAAATATATATCGATCATTATCCTTATCATCCTTATCATCCTTACAACTAAAAATAAAATTCAAATAAATGCTGATATGGCCCATCGATAAGCGACGAAATTGTCTTACTTTACAATTTTTGTTTAGGATTTTCGTTCCACTGAATATTAGTAGTATGAAAAAATTTGACCAGGCAATTATTATTTGACGATAGAAGTATATATGGATCCTAAGCATCCTAAGCACCGCATTTTTTACTAGTGGATTTATATTTCTATGAATCCCAAGCACCGCATTTTTACTGATAAATTTATACTATTTCTATTAGAGCTTTGATCCGAATAGAGACTCGAGATTTAGCTTATTTTTTGATTAACGTGATAATTGAATTAATTCATTGATAAAAAACATTTTAACCGAAATATTTCTCAAATTTATTTTATTTCCATTTAAATTGCTTTCATTTGATGAACAAAATAAATCGAAAAGAAGTTCGTTGCCAAAAAATTTTGTTAGTTCAGTTAGACAAATTTTTGTTTCCAGTAAATCGACCATTTGATATAAATTGTTCATCTTCAAAATATAAATAATTTTTTTATAATTTTTATAAGAAATTCTAAATTATTTGAATTATTAAAAATGGATGGTTCAGTGGGTTATTGCTCTCATTTCGAAATATCGATATTCGAGTTCTATTCTCAATAAAAGCAAACGCCTGAAGTTTCCCAGTGGTTTATGGTGACTCAAACACTCTTCTATTGACTCCTTGGCAAAATTTTCCAAATTACAAATTAGATAGGCCAGTCCAGCAAACCAAACAAGAGTTATTATTATAAAAAATAACGTTTTGTGATCATAGTGTTTCAAAAAAATATCAAATAGCCATTTGGTCTAGCTGGTTTTCATTACAAAAATTACGATAAGTTACTAGCACCATTCGGATTCGATTTTTAATGACAAATTCACTATTTTCAAAAGGCAAAGAACCTATATTGCTTAAGTTTAATACAAACGAAATATTTATCCACCAATCAACCACCACTTTATCACTTATCACTTAAGCTTTAGAGAGTATTGTCGAGTTTGTAGACAAAGATTTTTTGCTCGAAATTAGAAATATCACTTTTGTACTCATACTATTAGCATGATTTTTCGCTAAAAGCCTTTCTGGTTAGGCTCGCTCAACTGACTTGTCAGACTGGCCAGTTAGCCATTTGGCGATATAAGTATAGGTTAACGCTATCCACCGTGAGTCGCTTTGAAATAAGAGCAACAACCTATTGAGCTGCTTATTCGACCTTTCATTACTATAATTTATAATTTTTGAAATTTTATTTAAAATTTAAATTTTAAATATTTTTATTAATTTTATTATTTAAAAATAAAAAATAACATCAGTAGATGTAGGCATTCCTTGAATATGCATATCGATAATTTCATCCAACGAATTCGCTGATTTATAGATAAATAAAAATATGAAAACAACCGAACTAAACGATATCATTTTATAAAATATAAAAAAATTTTTCAAATATTTGCATTTATAAGTTAAAAAATCAAATAATATTTAAGGATATATGTATTTGTACAGATTATTAATATTTAAAATAATATTAATAATAACAATACAATATTTAATATTAATTTAATATTAATTTAATATTAATATTATTATAATAATATTTAAATAATATTTAATAATATTCGGTTTTTTTATATATTTACGTTCTTTTTTCTTTTTATTAAGGGATTACTTTACGTTCATTAAAATATTTTTTAAATCTGTACAAATACATACATATATATACAAAAAATGAAAATGAAAGCCAGGCTAATTAGCAGGATAGGGCCTTAAAAAAAAGGCCTGAAGGTGCATTACGCTTATAGCCAATGGAGCCAATTAAATCCGAAATGGTCCAGGAGACGAATCCTCAAATACGTTTAAAATAAAATGTTTATGAAGAAAATATTTTTAATATTTAATAATAATATTTTCAAAAATAATTTTAAATATTTATACGATTTAAATCATAAAAGAAAACGGCTCTTTCAAATATCGCGGAAATGCCTAATGGCGAAGTCCAAAAGCAGAACGAATAATAAATAATCCATTCCATTCCCTCTCCCCCATTCTCGTTTCTCCCTTCCCCTTTCCCCTCTTTAAACGTTAACCAAAATTAAAATTAAATTAAAATTTAAAAATGATGATATCGAATAAAAATATTAATTTATTAATAGTGATTGTTCAATAATATAAATATTTTATAATCTGATAAATCTGATAAAATCTGATAATATTCTGAATTTATATATTTCTTTCGATTTGCGAATGAATTCTACGGATTTCGCGAATATTACTCGGTTAAGCCAAACTTCGCGTAACAAAAATCGCGAATAGTGTGTACAATTAGAGCACTCTACGACAAAGAACAAACGAATTGCCAATCTCACCTGGGCTTTTTATGAAGAAATTTATTCGTGTCGCGCGCTAAAGCCAAACCTCCAAGTACAGTAATATATGACATTATCCACTCGGCCACCCTGACCCCCCCCCCCTAAAATTTATCATAAAAATTCATTTATTCGTTTTAATGAAGAATGGCTTTTATATAAAAATCAAATTTCTGGAATTCTTATTTTTATTTGTGAAGTTAATTTAATTATACAATGGTTCTCAACCTGAAATTCAAGAAAGAAAACAATCAAACAAAAAAGACACTGTGATTCTTTCAACAATTTTGACCTTCATCCTCATTACTGGTTTGGCTATATCCACTGGTGACAAGAAATATCCAAGCCTCTTGATACAATGCCAAGTCTGAAATTAAGTTTCACTTTTTGCATTCCCTAATCCTGGTAGATCGACCAGAGTTTCAAAATTTTATTTGACCTTAGAAAATACACGTTTCTACTGGCCAATTTTGCTTTCAACGCCTCGCACTACAAGGTCTGGCAAATAACAAGGTTCCATTCACATGCGAAGTATTGGACTTTATGGAAAATTTTTAAAAAATAGCTCTAATCGATTCTCCTGATCGAATTATCTTCACATCTTCATATGATAAAATCTAAAATAATTATTATCAATTATCATTTAAGAATCGCTCAATTGTCTAAAAAAATAATTTGCAAATAACTTTTTATCACCAGCAAAAAAAAATATATAAAAATTCAAACCAGTGAAAAATGACCAATTGTCGCTTTTCGAAGGCGAAGCCTTCCTTCCAGACATAATTATTTTAATTGATAAGCATTTAGTTAAAAGTCTCATTTTTTAGAAGAGAGACTTTTTGCTTATCATTTGTTAAAAACTTATCATTTGACACTTTTGCTTGTTTGATACGATAATAAATATTTTTTTAATCTATTTTTAATCTATTTTTTTAATCTATTTTTAATCTATTTTTTCTAAAAATAAGGCTGTGAAAATTTGGAATTTCAAAAAATAGCATGCACTTAATATTATTATAATGCAATGCAATCAAACGCATCACGCATTATGCATGCATTTTTATTATGTATTGCAGTAATGCATTTATATGAATTTTATCACTTTTTTTTCCGTGGTTTCTCTTTTTTGTATTACGAAATTACGAAATTGTTACACAATCGTACGCAAATATAACAAAGTGCTGGATAATCAAATGCATGTGAAATTATGCGTAACCAGTACGCAATGATATGCAAAAACCACGTAACATTACGTAATCTTACGTGAATATAGTGCAATTACATAAAATCACGTACGAATATTACGTAAACAATTGCACGGAAGTTATGAGCAAATATCATGCAATAAAAAATAAAAATTACGAAATTATGATCAAGCATTATGCGGAAACATACAACAGATAGAACAGCCGAGTGGATTAATAATGATTGAGAGGCAGGAATTCAGTTCTGACTGCCGATAAGAGTAAACCTATTATTAAAAAACCCGGACAGTACCAGTCCACCTATACTTTTATTAATAAGTGAACTCTGGTAAAAATATTTCCTAATCAAATATAACAGCCAGCGGTGCGGAATGGTGAGTGCCACCACTGCCTGACCACTTATTTATTATGCAAACAAATGCAAATGCAGGCTTATATTGTTTTGAATTCTGTTGAATTTAATCCATCTTTTTCTCAAAATCTTAGAAATCTGTGGAACCTAATTTTACACCCCACGACTTGTGAATTCTCCGTGTGAACCATAAACTTGTAGAAATATGCGAATGGGCTCATAATCCTCGAATTGCGGTTCATTTCTTTGCGTACTCAGCATAAATTTTTAATAAACTTCCGAGCCACAGGTAAAGACACTAAAATTCCGGAAATAACCCCGTGATCCACTGGTTTGGTGAATTTGGTTCATTTAGCAACCAAACCTCACCCAACCTATGCAACCAAACGAAATGAGATGATGATGGTGGTATTTTAACTAATGAATCCAACCTACGTAACCAAACCATAAACCACTTGAACCATCCGAAGCAATCCATCCACTCAATTAATTCACCTGACACCCGCCACCGTTGATCCCCAACTTCGATTCATTTAGTAGGTCAGACGATGATGAAATCACTTGATCTATGATCACTGCGACTTCGCTCCTCCCCTATCTAGACAAAAAAGACTTTTCGACCAATCAAATCTCTGCAATTCAATTGACGTCAACTGGAAATGGATCGCATCGCATTTGCATTGCGTGTGCCTTGGCTTTCTAATAATAAGGGGATTGTGGCGGGGTTGTTCGGTGAGTCGATGGATTGGTAGGGAGGCGGGCAGAGGTTCATTTGCACTTGCTAGGTGAGGATGTGAAGATGAACGGGAATGCTTTCATTACCTTGCTAATTCTTTTTCTCATGTGGAAAATTATTCTTCATACTGTAAGGGGGATTGATGGGGAGGGGAAGAATGTGAGGTGGGGGGGGGGGGGATAATTGGGGAATCAATTTCGAGGATCATTTATGAAATCAATCTCAAGGGTACTTCAATTCGTCTAAAAAGTGTTTTCAGAAATTTATCTTTCAACGATTTTTTTTATTGCGCAAATTGGTGACATTAGAAAAATGGCATTTTAAAAAAATTGAGGTGCATTTTTAAATTGCGCCTCATTTTGCAATTTTGCAATTCACCATTATATTCGTGGATTTTCCCAGTTTCATTTCCCGGTTCGTTTTTTTGTTCTTTTAGCCTGGCAGCTGCGTTCGGTGCTTTTCTTCTAGCATTCCTAAATTTATTTTAAGCAAATTTGGCAAAATTTTCTGAATATCGATTTTGAATTAATAAAGTAATTCTTTCGGTGAAAAAATTTATTTTTTAGATTTATTGATTTGTTATGAAATTAGAATGAAAGCTTTTCTGTTTAGCCGTTAATTAAGCGTGGATAGAATAGCATATCTTTGCCAGAGTACCACCAGTTTTAGAGTTCCACTCGCGACAGGGATAAACTTAGCTTTCGAAAATCAGAGCGATGCTTGCGACTCATTTTTACTTCAATCACCAACAGTTGCATTGCATTTTTGTGCTCCGATAAGCCAGCGGAGGAAGTAATAAATGCTGTCGGGAAAAGAACTAAATAGTTAGGCGGGGAGGGCTGTTGAATTTTGTCAAATTTCACGCTAGTTGGTCAAATCATATTAGTTTTATTAGATGCTTTTGGTTTGGTCAATTTTTTTCCAAAATGTATTACGTCGTGATTGGGAAGACTAGTAAGTTGTACCGCAGCAACGATCTTGGATAGGGAAATAACGAGAATGCTTCGGGGCATCCCACAAGGGAGGGAAATATGGGGACAAAAATAATAGTCAACTTTTCGTAATAGTCACTTTTTCATTTATGTAGTATTATGGTGAGAATTCCTAAAATGTTTGCAAAATAGATGCGAATTTTCACTATTTTTGCAAAGGCATTGATTTTTCAGTCATTTTTTTAAATGTCGCAATCGTTATCATCATCAGCATCATCGCCATCATCATTATCAGTATCCTCGAAATGTTCGGCATATGTTGATGCATCTCCACAGCTAACCACAACTTCATTAATATCGTCACCTTCAAATGATAATTTAAGCCGCAAACGTATTGCTGCCACGAGGCTTCCCCGAATATCATTGTCGGAAGACTCGCAGTCACCCCGAGATATAACCACGCAAACCCAAAGTCTGTTTTAATTCCAAAGTCTAATTTTCATGAGGAAGTCTTAGAAATCTTTCATTATCATATTTTTTTTTACTTTAGAAAAAGGGAAATTCATAAAATAAGTAAGAGATTCAACAAACCCAATTTCTCTTCATAGAATTATGTATCGGTTGGGGAAAGTTTTTTCCGTAATAAGCTGTTATTTCTCTCCGTTTCTTCTGGTCACTTTATCTGTGGTGTGCGGATGTTCATAATCCCTACGCCTAACCTGTAAGCTAACCCTGGTAGTGCTATTTTTTATTTGACTGGTTCAAATGGCTGTGAGGTGCCGCTAGCTGAAATTACAAATCGTAATATCGATGAACTACATATTCATTCAAATTCTCATATAATTTACCTTTGTTATTTTAATAGAGACAGTTCCCATTAATTATTTATAAGTTTTAGTTTACTTTTGTTTGCTTATAATTGCATAAAGATTTAAGGGTTACTGCGGTAACCGCTTTCACATAAAATTTCCAGATGATATAATTGATGTGAAGCGACAGCGTATCGCAGATGCTACTCAGCGCACTGATAATTATGTTTTGAATGATCTTATAGAAAGTCAGTCGAGAAGTCCATATGGATGTCCCGATCGTAATATTGATCCTAAGGTTAATCGTTATTCATACCTACGGCGATTTTTTTTTTATATTATTAATAATGGATTTCTTTTTTTAAATGATCTGAATTTTCGAACTCCTACGGGAGTAGAATTTTCGCACCGGTGCTCCAAACTGAACAACAACAACCCACTAAGTCAAGCGATTAAACTGCATAGTTTTGTTCATATCAAAATTTTTAGAATAATCATCCGAATGTAAATAATTTGGTTGTTGGTGGATATCAGATAGTAGGAGCTGGAAAAGAATTTAATGCTTATCACAGTCAGAGAAAAATTGTTAAAAATTGTCAAGTACGATTTTTATGGATTTGCTAAATGAAAATCTTTTTGATTTCTTTAACATTGAATATTTACCCTCAATTATTTATTTATTTTTATTATTTATTGTTCATATTCATAATATATGTCTTTTCAGCAGATTACCAATTCCACATTAATTTAATTCATTTTTTAGTTAATTGATGTGGAAAAATTTCGTAAATTAATGGCAGTGAGACATCGCCTGAATGAAGCTCATAAATATTGGAAATATGGCGACGTAGATCAAATGAGGTATAATTAACCTCAATTTTATAGAAAGGATTTGCGTTTTCCTTCTTTTTTATGTAAAAAAGTTTATGCGAAAATTAGTTCATCGACTCGCTCGAATGATGAAATAATTTCGAATTTTATTGAAGAGAACATTTTTTAATGTGGCTAACCAAACTGTTAAAATGAGACTCTCTCGAGAGGATAAAGCTGTAGGTTTCTGGCAGATATCTATATTTCGGTTTTAATGAGATTTATTGTTTAATGGGAATGGAAGTTAAACTCCATCGTACGAAATTGAATCGTTTTACTTAATGATGATTGTTGTTGTTGCAAAAATTGAATTTTTATATTTTAGAGAATTCGTTTTGCCCGAGGATTGTGAAATATGCGAAAGTGATCGTGGTCAACGTTTTTTATTTTTGCCATGGCAGTATGGATCATTACAAAGTAAAATAGGCGCTAATAAATTATCAGAAGCTGCAGTTCGACCACTTTTTAAGCAAATTGTTCGGGCTGTAGCATTTTGTCATTCTATTGGCATCATCGTGCGTGATTTAAAATTACGCAAATTCGTTTTTATCGACGAAGAATTGTTAGTTTTTCTTTAACTATGTTTACGATTAGCATTAAGAGTATTAAGGATTAATGGTTGCTATCTTGTTTTCGTTAATCTCAAGAAAAATTTTTATATTGTTTTATTTTTTGATTTCGTTATATTGGATTTATGAACGACTTAAATTTAAAATGTGCAGTGTTTAAAAATATCAATTGCAGGAGTCGTCTTAGATTTCGTGATATCTTTGATATGCATGTATGTAAAAACGTCGGTGATGATGGTTTGCGTGATCGGCACAGCTGTCCGGCATATGTTGCGCCTGAGATTCTCATAAAAAGTTCTCCTGAATATGCTGGGCGTCCAGCTGATGTTTGGGCACTTGGTGTTCTCCTCTACATTTTGCTGTTTGGAAGGTAAATGTATTGTTGCATATTTCAAACGCTTTGCTGAGATTCTGGGAGGAGTAAACTTATCCTTTGAAAGTCATGATGGTGACCCATCTGTATTTCACGATTTCACGATGGAATTTATTTTCCAATCGAAACGTTTAACATGGATTGAGGCGCATCCTGAGATGGATATTGAAGAAATAACTAGCATAGACGATGGGCTTTGTGTGACATCAAGCGAAGATGGAAAATGGAGGTGATCATGAGAGTTTCCTTCTGGTAAATGTATTTTTGGTAGGAAGAGTTGATATAGCTTAATATTTTTATTTTCACTGATCACACTTCGTAATCATATAACAAAAATTTTCGTGCCTGAAAAGTAGAAAGCAAGCACAAAAATGAGTCAGAGTGTCATTATTCTAATTTCTTTCATTTAGTATAAAAGTAAAAAATATTTTGCTAGAAATATATTGTGGGCCTCGGAATATGTGGTCGTTTGATAGCTCATCAGCTTTTTCTTTTCAACATGGATTCAATTTAGGTAAAAAATGCAAAATCCTCAGCAATCGCTCCAATTTTTAGTTTTAGTCCTAATATCAGGTTTATTCCTGTTAAGAAAGGAAGAGGAGAAAATATTGTGCAGAAAACAGTCGCCCACGACTAATGCAAAGAAAAATTTGCCAATTTTTAAAAGAATAATTGTAATATTTTTTTGATAATTATTTTTACAATATTAATTTCTTTCAAGTTTACAGTTATCCGTTTATGGATACTACACTACAGAGTGTTTTCTCAAGAATTTTGAAAGTGAGGTTTATTATTCCTCCAAATATAAAAATTTCCCGTTCAGGTGTGGTCCATTATTTATTGTCATTGTTATTATTATTGAGATTATTATTGAGACATATAAGATTATTAAGATTATTGTTATTATTTATTAACGAATCATTAGTTATTTCTCAACCGAGATCTTTTCAAATTCCATTATATTCTTTCATTATATAAATTTCATTATAAATCTACCACTAAATCCAAATATTTGTGAAAAATTATGTTTATTATTATAGTTCGTACTTTACTCTATTGTCTGTTACGAAAGGAACCGTTAGAAAGACCTAGCGCGGAAGATTTGCTTCATATTCCTTGGATTTTTAATAATTCAGCAATGGCCGAAAACATTGAGCAGCGATCATCATTAGGTATATATATATATATATTTTAAATCGTTATATATGTATATATGTATATATTTTAAATCGTCCTTTTATTTTATAGAATTTTTCACTGTTTTTTGTTCCATTTCTTATTAAGATCTTATTAAGATTTCGCGATTTGTTATTTCCATCTTATTTTGTTGTTTCTGACAATAAAAACTCTGAGATATTCATTTCATTTATATTTAACGTTATTTTTAGATATAATATCGCATCTTCAGTTTAACCTCTCAAGCAGTACGCATCGTTATTCTCGCAGAGATGTGAGTTTTTTGAAATATTTCTTTTTATAAATCCTATATATATATAAACCCTATAGTATATATATATATATATATATTACTATTATATGAGTCTATATAGTTTTTATATTTCTAGGACCAGGAAGAAGATCAAGTTGTACCTTCGCTATCCAAGAAAAAAGGTAGTGCTTGGGAATAATTGCACGTTCATCTCTAGCATATCATTAGCTCAACTAGAATTTGTAAATAAACCGAGTCATTCTCAGTATGGTCAGGTTTAGTTGTACAAATCAATGGTTCAGGTGATCCGCCAGTTTAATAGATTGCGAAAATGCCCCTATTTTAGCGTTCTGTTTCAAATGAAAATTTCTTGAATGCTCTTTTTAGATATAATGTAGTTTTTATTAGTTAATTAATCCGACAAAGTATTAATTTGTGGTGTAAGGAAATATATTATTAATTTAGTTTTAAATTTTTTAAATGAATATATTTTCTATTTTATCATATGTGGCTTTCACTGTTTTTTTGTCTTTCCCGAAAAAATATCAGCTATTAGGATGAAATAATTGGTTTCAGGTTTTCAATATATTACAGCTTTTTTCATCCTTTTGGATAGATTGAACTGAATCAGTTGAGTTTAGGTGTTTAGCTATTTCATCAAAATGGTTGCTATTTGAAAATTCCGAAAATATCTATTTTGTCAAAATATCATTTATAGATCATTTAAATATGTTTTTTATTTGCTCGGTTTGGCGGGTCATTTTTGGCCAATATAAGTGCAAAATTTTTGTTCTTTTATTTTTCTTAATCTGAGATCGATGTAATACTGTGGTTCATATTTGTTTAAGGTTTCGTAAGTTTTTTCACAATGAGTTTTTGCTGATGGATGGTTTTAATTAGATTTAAGTTTTTAAGACTGAATTAAATTCGTGGGCGTTTGTTTCACGGTAACATTACTTAAGGTTTGTTTTCGATTGTTCTTTATAAATTATGGAAATTATTTAGTTCATTATAGCTTGTTAAAATGAAAATATCTTAATTTTATTTTTATTCAAAAATTCATGGGGCAAAAATAGTTGAAATCGTCGCTAGAGAGGCAATAGAAATTCATCTAATTGATATAATAGTGTGCGATCGATTTTATTGCTTTAATTTTTAGAATTTAATGAATTTCTCTTCTTTGTTCTCTTCTCTTATTTCTGTTTTTTTCTGTTTTTTTATATCATTTCATTTTTGAATTTTGAATGAATTATTTTCTAGTTCTTTTCTTCCGGTTTGTTGGTTGTAAAATCTTCATAAATTCCATAAATGAACATTGTTAAAAAAAAAAGTTTACGCTGTTATGCGGGGGAAATTTTTAGTTTATTGTTTCTTCAGTGAAAGTTAATTTTCCACTTTGCATTGCTAGAATATTCAATTGTAAAAACTGCGTTTTTGTAAAGTTTTTTTAAATTTTGTTATTTTATTTTTTCTTTCATCGTTGTTTCCTGTGGATTTTTTCGTGTGTGGTTTTATTCCTTTTTTTTTATGGTTGTTTAAAATTGTAAACTGTAGAAAAAATTTGATTGTAAAGAAATATTTGATTGGAATGAATATAATTTGAATGTAATAATTTCAGGTGATGAAATTCAAAGAATCTTGGTGATTAATAGTAAATTTTTTTATTCTATAACGCGGCTGGAAGATGTTTTGGTTTTCTGCGTTGCATTGTCTACAAAGCATAAATATAGAATTCCAAAAAAGAAATTTATAAGCAACTTTAAGAGCTCTAAAGCAATATAGGTGATAAGCAGGCAATTTTTTGCTTGAGACTGAGGATTAATGGAAAATCGACAGTGATTTATGATCAGGGTTGTTGATCGCGTGGGATGCACCAGAAGGTTGGGAGGTGGTGGTAGGGAGTGGACTTGAAAGTGCAGTTGTAAGATTTGCAGCTTATTTCGTGATATGATATTTGCTGTGTTTGCGTATAGGTTTGCACGTAGCATTCATAATATTTGCGCATGATTTCGTATGAAAATGATAAATGAATGATAAATGATATGATAGATAAAATAATAATGTTCGCTTTGTTTTGTGATTTTTCCTTCATTACAAAGTATACGCATAAAAAAGTTCTTGAATCAGCCGCAAATATTCTGATTTGGTCAAATTCAAGCATGGCCCGTCACTGTAGTTATGTGTGGTGCGTAGGATCATTGGCTCTGATTCGTCATTATCTTTGAACTCGCTTTGGCTGCATTGTGGTGTGTTTTTCTCGTAACTGGGGTATCCTACCAAAAACTTGGTTGGCCCATTGTTTTAGCATTCTTAGTTGTTTCTTATATTCTGTCAACGCTGACTTTTCGGGTGGTTGTAATAGTTTTTTAGTTATTCTATGACATTGTGGTGATGTGGAAAGCTTATGAAACCAATTTATTTTCAAATAATCAGTAAATAATGGTAAAATGATACTTGTGTCAGAAGTTCGAAACGTGAACTATGCAGTTAGCCTTTTAGAAAGTACCATCTGCCAGGTCTTGGTGTGGTACCAGCCAGTAGTACCCATATGAACTTGAACTCAATACTTCCGTTACCTACTAGACATCTGCATGATACAAATGTTTCAAATAAAATAACGGAACAAAATAACGGAACATGCAAAATGTATTAAAAATTTATTCTTCTGTAAAGCTAAATATTAAAATTCCACTATTTTTACTAAATTTTCTAAATTATTTTTTACGAAAATTATTTGACATGCGTAATCGTAATTTTTTTATTTTTGAATAAAATTTTATTTTATAGAAATGATGAAAATTTGGATTTAAATATAGTGAAAAAAGTATTGTCTTCTTCCTCTTCTTATAACAGTTGTCACCCGGAAGTAGAATGGTTCAGTGGACCATTGCTGAGGTTCCTGCAGGAGTAAACCTCAGCGAATCCGGCTGCTCACCCGCACTTATGTCACCAAGATACTCCCCTGGACTTTAACTAGTAATGATGAGAGCTTTTAAGAAAAAAAAAACAGTTCTCACCATTATTGAATAAACTAAATCCGCTGTCTATAACGGTAAGATATCTCCAAAATGTTCGATCCGACGCTATCACGGTAGTAATTGAAGCCATCTTTTTCTATCGTCCAAGTCCATATATCACTCGTCAACCTATTCAAAATCTTTCCCCACTTACCATCTTAATTTGCCTTTCTCGCTTTTGACGCCAGCCATCACATGAATTAATAAGTAGCGAAATAAATATCAATATTCTGCAATGGGCTAAGAACCTAACATTTAAAATATAATAAACTACTATTTGTGGAAAAGAAAAATACTTTAAAAATTTCTTAGTTTTAATTTTTAGCATTATGAAGCATTAATAAACATCGATAAGAAAACATTGTCCTCAATAATTTTTAAGAGTGATACTCAAAACAAAACGTTTCAGAGCCACTAATAATATATTATTCATATAATATAATTAACCTTATTTTTTAAGATAAAAAAATTATATGTATATATATTTTTTGAATAATAATTAAATTTGAATAATTTTTTTACTACCAAAACTATTTATAGGCTTAGGCTTAGGCTTAGAGCTTAGGCTTAAGCTTATGGAAAACTATCATTATTTTGTTAATTCCGGGAAAAAATTGTAAAGAAAATTTAATTTGAAGAACTAAATCGAGCAATTTACAACAGTTATTCAATAATTATGTTTTCTTGGATATCTAATTCGGCTAATCGTTTCTTCTTCTCTTCAGCAGCATCATCGCGACCTTTTCCCTGTTTTTCAAGTTCTTTAACTTCATTTTCCAACTGTTCACGCAGAGCTTTCAGTTTCGCTTGCTCCTGCAAAAAAAAAAATAAATGATTATAAATAAACTAACTAATCCATTTCACTTAAATTTTTCCTAAACCTAATTTAGAAAAAAATATAATTTGAAGATGGTCGGGAAAATAATAAAAAATAAATAAATTTATTTAATTTTATTTCTTAGTCACAAACAAACTAACAGTTCTATAAAAATATTCTTCTTCACGCGCCACTTCCATCTTTCCAAAGGTCCCACCTGCCTCACGAATTGCACCACTTGATCCGCTTTCTTTTCCGCCTCCGTCTGCCCACTCTCCAACTGACCTTTCAGACATTCTGAAAATTTCAACTGACTTGCAATTAATGCTTATTTTCCATTATGTGATTTCTTTATTTCCATGAAATCAATTAAAATTTAAGAAATGTTTTAAAAAATCGAAAAAAAATCTTGCTCAATCCCCGCTCAATCATGTTACTTCAATACTTCGTCAAATTTGGGAGCACATTTTTATTCTATTCCACTAACATTCCCTTAAAGTTCACATTATCCAAATTCCTTTTCCTATCTGCCTTTGATTTGATTGCCTTAAACTGCTTTATTCTCTCCATATGACTTCGTCAATCTCGGTATAACAAGTCAATATGATTCCAATCACTGTTCTCCTTATTTTGTCTTTGTCTATATATATATATATATCTTTTTGAGTATGATCAATGGTTCAAGAATGTGGTTGATCTTTTCTTTTTTTTTTCTCACTTTGCTATCCGTTCTTACCGTTTAAATATAATGTTGTACATATAATTTCAGATTGTGAAAGTTTCTGCCATAGTATGGTGAAGGAATTGAATGGTAAGAATTTACAAACTCCGTTCTCAGCACAATAAAAGAAGAAAATGATGAGAATAAGTAAAAAGAATTACAAGAACTAGAATACATGAATGGAATGTAAACAACAATTCCATACAACATTGAACAACAACAATTCCATAATGAACGGAGAATATTCTAAGCGAGAGAATCGACTAAAAAGAAATTGTTTTGTAGGAAATTTATGCAAGAAAAATGTGGTGTGATGTGGTGGAAGTCTGGCGAGTGTGTGAGCAGTATTGAAGACTTAGAATAAGTGCAACGTAAATATAAGAGCACTACGTTAAGTGATAAGTCATAAGACAGTTCGAAGACGATATTAAGTAGGTAAAACTTTTTAAAAATAAATCGTATTTTAAAAGAATACTTTAAAAGCAGCTCACTCACAGCTATTCTATCTGTCTGTAGGACTCTTTTCATTGATCTATATACCTCACATTCCAAAATCGGTCAAACGTTGCCAAATCTTCTCAACCCTCGAATAAATTCCTCTACCGCTTATGTGCATCTGTTCCTCCCTAGAAATTTCTCCACAGCGAATAATCAATCACCCTAAACAAATTCGTTATTTGAAGAAGTTCCAATGAGATGAGACAATAGTTTTAAAAGATATTACTCGAAAGTTTTTATTAAAAAAACGTATATATAAAAGAACCTTGTTAAATTTGAAAAAATTCTTGGCGATGAACGTAGCATTCGAAATTTTTTTCAGTAAAAAAAAAATGGGAATTGAACGATGTATTACGATTCTGTAATTTTATAATTTTATATTTAACTAATAAAACCAATTAAAGATTTTTAGTTTTTCTAAAAAAATAAACAATGCAAAGCATATAAATTTAGCAAAAGAAATATGGATAAGACGTCAGTGTCACGTGGATTTTTTGAAAAATAAGTTCATTCCTGACGGGAGTGGAACTCGACGCTGCCAAATGATAATAATAGCCCACTGGCCCAACCTGACCCCAATTAATTGTTTCTAAATTAAACTAATTAAATTAACTTCCCACCCAGCAATACACCAGACCATCACGAAATGATACACAACCCAAACCAGTTCACGACCAAACAACAAACAACACGAACAAAAAATACTAACTTGCAGCTTTGGCACGCGGCAGCCGAAACTGTGTTTTCGAATAAATCGGCTAAGTTCCGTATATTCTAAATAAAGATGGTTGAACCTGGATGTGATTGGTTCCATCCTTTGTTTTTACTTTCTTTATGATTGAAGTGGTATTTCAGTTTAATTTAATTTAATGTTAACTTTATTAAATTTCACGTTTCACGATTCGATTTATATGATAAATATAATAATTTGAATAAAATATTAAGGATGAAACTAAAAACTATTCGATTATTTATGAATGAAAACCCTAAAGTCAACTTTTTTATGCAATCTTTTTTTAAAAAGTACCATAAAACAAATTTATCAGTTAAAATTCATCTAACTCCGCTAGCAAAATTATCTTTGCCTTAGCTGAAAACTGCTCGATGTCGCGAAAGCACCTCAACTGTAAAAATAATTAAGAAATTCATTGTTTATAATTTAATAATTTAAAATTTATGATTTGTAATTTATGATTTATGATTAATTTATGATTAAATTTATGATTAATTTTCTAATAACGAAGAAATACTCAATTATTTGTCGTTTAATCGTACATAATTCATCTTTTTTTTAGTTTATTAGAATTTTTTTACTCCTCTTAGAGAATAGCATTTGGTTATCACTCACCATTTATTCCAATAGCAATTTAAATTTGGCGAACTCCAGATTTGGTGATTTGGTGATTTGTTCCTCCGAATGTGTAATCTTATAATAAATTCTAAAGTTGAATAGATACTACTTTTGCGAATAGTACGGAAGAATTTCGAAATTCCAATGCAGTTTTTGCTTCTTCTTAAAACGAGAAATAACCGATGAAAAATGAAGAAAATCGCTGAAAGAAATAAGCAAGCGAGTGCAGCAAAATATGTGGAAAAAGTAAAGTACGAAGTTGGCGAGTAAAATGGATATTTTTTGGCTGTGGTTTATATCACGTTTGGTTGGACAATTTTCATTATATAGTTTCCTTCAATATCAGTAATTATGTTTTCTAAAAAAGTATTTTTTCTTTATCCTTGTTTTTTCAAAATGGATAAGAACGCAATAGGCATTTGAAGTGATAAGTGATAGCGATAGGCATTTGGAGTGATAAGCACTAATGACAATTTATTTTTATCTGATATTGAAGAATTTGAATTTGAAAATCGAAGAAAAGAGTATCGAAGATTGAATTTTTGCTGTATTTTCAAAGATTTTTTATGAAAAATTTTTTATTTTTTCCATACGATTGACATTAATGTTCTCGGTTTAAGAATTATATCGAGAAATTTGTCTTTGATTGATTTGTCTTCAATCGTTAGCATAAAAGTTTGCTCGAAATCAGGATTATTCATTATTAGAACTGTTTGAGATTTTGGCGTCACAAATGCGATCGCTTCAAATGGTACCGATGGATCTTTTATGATTGATTCGATTCGAAATGAACCTGGTCGTACGAATTTACTGAAATTTTTATATCTCGAATTTTATAGAGGAACTTTGTGAAATTATTCGAGGAAAACAATTGAAATTTAAAAAATCATTGGAAGAAGTAAAATAGAAAAGGTAAACCTGAAATGACCCATCGCATAGAACATTGGCTGCTTATAGAATTCATCCAACGTTGCATTAACAATAATTGGTGAATCGACAAAATTTTCTACCCAATTCGGCCCACCATTAACATCTAAACAGAGATTCCAATCCGTCCAACCAACCACCCAATTCGCTAAATCCTAAATTCATTTAAATTTTATCTTATTAAAACCAAAGATCAATTCAAATTAATAACCCCTTCAATGTTTAAAATTCATTGTATCATTGGTGGAAAATTATGCAAATATGGGAGTGTTTCATGTTTCATGTTTCAGGAATTTTGTAGAATTGGAAAGCCTGGAATGCGTCGCTCTCGTCATCAATCATCAACGAAGTCAGCAAAACCAGGAATGATTCGAAAAAAAGTGCGAAAATCTACCATTTCGTAAAGGAATAGAATTATTATGACGAAATTGGTAAAATTGGATTTCTTTGCTTGGTTAGTTTTCTAAAGTAATCTATATTAAATCTGTATATGATTACATCGATTATATCATGGGTATAATGTATTGCGCGATCCCAATCGCCCATGAATGGACCTTTGTTTGGCATTATAAAACCAGCACAAGCCTGCAATGTAATTGATTCTTCAAATAGCTTCTTTCTTAACGGCTCTTCGGCAAATTTGTAGCGAACGACTTTTAACTATTCTTTTTATTCGAGGAATATTCTTCATTTCTGGTTAGGCTAATTCTACTGATTTCTCGAACTGGATAAATTTTGCTAACGAGTCATTTCGCAATAGAATCACAAGTGACTGTCCACGATCATATGGATTTTTATAAGACAGCTTTTCTTCCGCCGAGAAACAATCAACCCTATCTTGCTTTAGGTAATTTCTGAATCAGTAAATATCAAAAATGAAGAAAAATTAAAGTTCGTTTAAAATTTAGAAAATTTGGATAGTTTTTAATATATTGAATATATATTAAAATCACCTCAGTAGCTAAAATAAACTTATTAGGATGACGATTATGTGTCTCGGAGAGTCGTTTTGCTGAAACAAAATTCAAATACCAATGAACACCAATTCCTGAGACATATTTTTCAGTTTCAGCGTCACGAAGCACCTAAATATATCCATTTCAAAATTCATTTCTTTTCAAATATTTATTATTTTAATTATTTTAGTTGCAAAGGGACTATAAATAAGAATTTTAATGATTTCTTTTATTAATATATTTACTGCTAAAGCTTTTCTTCCATTTGTGATCTTTAATAAAATGCTGAAAAGATACGAATTTCGATTGAAAATGATAATGTTCCTTGCTTATTTTTGTAAATTCAAATTAAAAAGTTCAGACTTGTCGCTGCATAAATGGATATTTACTTGATCAGGCCACTGTGGTAATTGAATTCTTTGATCGTCCATTATTATTATCTTCACATCTTTAGCTACTGGACTTTTTTTAAAAGTTGGTCCCAGATGCTTTTTTATAAAGTCTCTGAATGAATTTTTGAAAAAATTTCAAAAAAATTAAAATTAAAAAAATTAAAAAACAATTCTCCGTTCTTCTAAGCAATTTTTAATCACCATTTGATTACTTTATCATTGAATTTTTTTCAGTGATAAATTTAATTTAGATAAAATTTAGATAAAATTTAGATAAATTTAATTTATTTAAAATTTAGATAAAATTCTTTTTATATTTAATGATGGTGTTTTTTCATTTTTCACCTTTCAGTTAACGGATTGAAATACATTGTTTGAAATTTGTAGTCCAAAGCAACGCCTGTTGTCGGCTCATTTTGGACTGTTATGCCCCATATATTAATGTTAGCTTTTTTGTATTCTTCAATAAATCTGAAATCATCAAAGCATAAATACATCTCTACTGGTTATACTTTTTAAATTACACCCGAAAATCTGAAAAGAAATGAACTAATAAATTCAATTTTTTTTATAAAATGGCTGCTATATTCTATATTTTGTTTTTTCGCTTTCACCTTATCGCACTTATTTCAGATCCTTAAATTTTTTAAATTCTCAAGTAACTATAGTTGAACCAGTTTTAAATTAATTTCAAATGATTAATCTTTCTTTAATTATTAGAAAAACAACTTGATGAAATAATTAGCCCAAGTAACATGATAAGATTCGTTGTTGTTCACTTTAAGTGTTCCACCACCTGCCATACTATTCGTGGATTTCATCCAGAAAGGTGCTGACCATGGCGAAGCGAATATTTTCATTTGGCCATTAGTAAAATTTAATGCTTGTTGGATAAATGGGATCTGAATATTTTAAGATAATCAAAGTGGAATATTAAATAGTTAAAAATTTCTTTATATGTTAATTTTTCGTTCATATACATATATTGTTTTTACCCTTTGCAGGTGGTATGGATCTCTTCCAGCTTCCCTCTATCAGAGAGCTTTTGGAGGATCTCCCAAGGACCTTCAATGGGAAAATAGAGAGGATTGGCTACGATTCGAAGCACGTTATACTCGATGTTAATTGCTTGTGCTGTTCGGGCACTTAAAATATATATATATATATATACTACCGTGACAGCTACAAATTTGCCAGTAAAAATAAATAGAATATTACCACTTATATTTCTTTAGTCAATGGTTCATTCGTCTCAATTGGCCTAATCACTGGAGATAAGCCCAGAATCGTATGTTTCTAGATGAAGTAAATATTATATAAAAATTTATTTTGCCTTTTTCACCATTTGTTTTTTTTCAAGATTATCCTTGAATTTTAAAAGTTTAACTTTTAGTTTGCGATCTTCATCGGTCAGCGAAAAGTTCTTTAAACCAAAATCATCAGCAATATCATCGTATGAATAAACATGCGTTGAGAAGTCGCAACTGGCGATTGGTACTCTTCCCAATGAATATTGTAAACCTGAAAGAGAAGTAAAAACCGAGTCGAAATTGGCTCAATGAATTTAGCGTAAAGTGAATGAGCAGTCAATGAGGTGAAAATTTTTGAAAATATTGAAAATAGTCTAAAGAATATTCAAAATCTGTCAAGGTTCAAGGATAATCTAAATTATTCAAAGGCTATAATTTTGATCAAAAATATTCAATTGAAATGAAATAATAAAATTTTAAGTACCCGTATCACTGAAGTAAGAACGAATAAGCGCTTCTCGGGTTTTCTCGGATAACGAATTCAGATTTATTCCAGATGCATCAGTAAAAGCACCACCAAAACCAAATATTTTTTGAAATTTCTGTTTTTCATTAACAACTATTCTTCGTTGTTGACTCTTATTCGCATCTGAAAATTTCATTTGCAAAGATGTACGAATCGTTCTAATTTTGATGTACTAGTGGTGACGATCTAGTGGTTTTCAATCAATTGAACGAATCTTATCTAAAGTGACAATCATTTATTAGCGTGAAAAATCATAGAAACATGGAAGGAATGAGTGGGTAAGGGATAAAAAAGAGAAGATATAAAGTGAATGCAGTAAAGTAAAGTGAAATATAAAATATTGGTGTAGAAATTGTAAAACTATGAAATAATGGGCAGATAATTATGAATAAAAGAGAGGCCTGAGCCATTTTACTCGTACTCCCTTAATGATAGAGCAACAGCCATTGTCCTTCCAATCTTTTAATTTTAATTTTTTTCATATATAATTTTTTTGTAAATGAATAAAAATAACATTTAGAATAATTTGTAAAGCCGGTCGTTGTTTTTTGAAAACGTTTTCCAGACTCTGAAGATTCATAAATAATCGCTTCGAAAGGTTTAAGATCGTTAATCTCGTCGATTTCATCGCAATAAGTTGCATTACAAACGCATACAAATTTCTCTCGACCTTCGTATTGTTTTAGAATACAAGGTTTGTCAGAATTTACTGAAAGTTTAATATAATGGAAGTTTAATATAATTTTTTAATCATCTAAGCTTAGACTTCAAAAATAAATTAATTAATGCTTTATATAATATCGGTGATCGGTGATCGATGATATTTATCGGTGATATTTATAGTCCATTAAATCCATTTGAATTATTTGAAATTCTCATTTACCTCAGTTTTTTACCTATATATTTACTTAATTTTATTCATTTTCTTTCTAAGAGCTCTCACCATTTCTGGCCAGGCCAGACTCTCACCATTCATAGTGGATCGCTAGCAACATCCGAAAGACAAATCGTGTAAATTATTTATAATGATCATAAAAATGATATTAATTATTTAAATAATTAATAAATATTAACTTATAAATTAATTGAGTGAAAAATTGTTTAAAAAAATAATGTTTTAGAAAATATTTAGAAAATATTTACAAAGAAGTATTATGCTGCATTAACCAAGTAAAACAAACTTATCAATTCCGAACTTAAACATAACCAAAAACGATTTGAAAGATTTACCTTTAAACAAAAATAAAGTTGAGATCATGATTAAAATTGCCTTCATGGTTGAAAAAAATGTTGTAGCGTGGAAATGAGTGATAAGAAAAGTGATAACAAAAAATAGCTTCAATAATTAATGAGAAAAATTGCTGTAAGAACTTCAAGGGCTTCGCGCTTCGCTATCGTTCTTAGAATATTAAATCCAATAGGTGAATATTAATAATTTCCATAGAGATATTCTAAAATTAAATTTTTATTAAGAAAATATTCATGCAAAATTAAAATTCGTCGTTCTATGATGTTTTTTTAAATATATTATAAAATCAATATTAATGAAAATATTTTTTTTAAATTTTAGAATTAAAAATTTTGAAAAAAAAACATTTAAAATAAATCGGTAAAATATCAATGAGAAATTTAAGGCGAATTTTATCGTAAAAATATCGATGTAAATTTTTCAAAAAAAAAATTTAAAAAAATAAATTTTCGAATTTTTTGAAAATATTTGAAAAATTTTAAAATGCATTTTATAAGCATAGGAAAAAATAAAATCGAAACTGTGATTTAAAATTGTAAAAAATGCAACTATTTTGTCGATTCGAGAACCTATTAAAATTGATTATAACCGATTGTTAAACCGGCTGATATTGCATTATTTTGATGTGAACAATTGTTAATTGCGTTAACTCTGCCTTAGGGTAGTTAGTGTTTCGTAAGCATTCTAAGGAGTCCGAAAATTATTATATTAATTGTTTTTAATATTTAATGCTAATGTTGTATTTCGAATTATCGTCACTGAAATATCGGCGCGGACGAGAATTAGACTTACTTACCTTTTAGCGTTACTCGGTGACTTGCTGAGGCGTCAAGCGACGAGATTATAAGATAAGATTATATTTTTGTGATTTCAATTGGCTTTAATATTATTATTATTATTGCTATTATATTGCTATCTATTATAATAATTATTATTGCTATTCTATTATAATAATAATTATTATTCTATTATTATTGCTATTTATTATAATAATAATATATTATTAAATTAATATAAATTAATATAAATTTAAATAAATAAATGAATTTAAATAAATTATAAATTTTATTATATTTTAGTATTCAAATAAGAAATAGTTCCATCATAAGTAAAATTCACTTGCACAAAGTTGCATTAATTATTATTTTAATAATGAATTATCAAATGAAAACAATTTTGGAAACTGATCGGTTGATTTAATCAGATTTTATTCATTTGGAAAACGCTTTAATCAGACGATTCATTAATGATTAATAATAATGATTAATGATTAATAATAACAATAGTAATAATAATATATAATAATAATGGATAATAATAAATAAGAAATAATAAAAAAAATGATGGTAATAATAATAGTAATAATAATAATATTAATAATATTAATAACAACGGTAATATAAATAATATTTATGTTACATTGATGTAAATATAATATAAAAATAAATATATATAAATATAAATATAAATAAAAAGAATAAATAATAATAATAAAAGCGATAATAAAAGATAAAAAATAAAATGAAAATGGCGATTAATGAAATTAATGGAATGAAAATAAAAAATAAAATTTTTCTAAATTTTAAATTTTTTTGATATTATTTTATTATTCAAAAAATATTCTTGTAATTTTCAAAAAAAAAATTATTAATTTGTCCCTTTCAGATTGATTTTATTTTTATTAATGCGATAAGGGGAAAGGGGAAGTTGAATTTTAAATTCGGACTATTTGATTAATTTTTTGCCTTCGTTCCCAATTGAAACTTCGGTAAACCTTATGTGAAATTCTCATTTATCATTGATCGTTTAAAATTCCAATGACATAAATCATGAAAAATTACTTAATTTTTCGAAATATCACATTTAAAATGTTATTAGATTATTTAGATCGTTCGCACAAGCCGAATTCTTTGCGATTGTATTTACTAAAATAAGAGTGGCCAAATTCGTTGAATTTGCTGGCCTTAAAATTATATTTTTAGGAAAAATAAATAATTACAAATAATTAGCAATATTAAATACAAATAATAAATTGAACAATATATCTGAAAATAGATCGGAGTTGTCTTTAAATGGGGATAGAATGGCTCAGTGGGTTGTTGCTCAGTTTGGAGCGCCGATGCTGAGGTTCGATTCCCTGCACAGGAGACCTGTGCAAAAATCCAGGTGATGTTGGCGACTCACCTGTATTTCTATCGCCAAGGGACTCCCTGGTATATTACCCAATGCGACAAGCCAGTGGAACGATTTTAGTCAGTAATGGTGAGTAGTCCTATAAAAAAAAAACTATTCCACTCTTAGTGGAGGTGAGCGCATCGGTTCTGGTAACTCATTTTCTTAGTGATATTCTTTGGCAAAAATTTCTAATCGTAACTAACGACAGTCAGTGGAGATAATCGAAGCAGAAATGACAAATGGCAAACACTAACCACTTTAATCCTCTTAATTCGTTGAGATATTCGTCAAATTTCTTTGTGGAAGAAAGCCGATTAGTTAGAAGAAATATACGAACGAGTAAATTTCTCAGAAATAGAAGGTTTCAATTATTTCTAATAGTTTTCTTGTTGTAAATTAACGGAGCGCAGTGATAAACTGGTGTCGTAGGAGGACGCATTTGGTCAATAAATTCACGCTCAACAATCTTGGAAAATGAAAACGGTATCGATCAAATAATAATCATTGGATCGAATAATAAATATGATTTGTCTAATATTAAATTGTAAATAATTTTTTTTTGAATATTTGAAAAATAAAAAATAAAATATATTTTAAAAAAGTGAAAAAGTAGAATGGCTCAGTGGATTGTTGCTCTCATTTCAAAGCGTCGACACTTGTGTTCTATTCGCCGTAGGCATAAATCTATCTTTCAAAAATTTCAATTATTCTTGGCGATCCACTTTAATTTCCTATCGCCAATTATTCCACTGGCAAAATTTGCCTAGTTCGAACCTAAACACCACGGCAAGTGACTAAAAATGATGAGCGTTTAAAAATTAATATATCTCGTAAAAAGAACTTTTGGATTGAAAAATTTTTTAAATTCATTCAATCTTATAAATTTCAAAATTTTATTAAATGTTAGCTAATTTTTAAATTTCATTTATTTCTATTTGAATTAAATATTATTAATATTTTATTAAATATTTGTATGTTTAAATATTTTTTTTATTAAATTCCCTTTAAGTTTTTATAAAATTTTTTTATTTCAGTATTCGCTAAAAAAACGAATCGAAAATGAAAGAAAAAATAAAATTTCAAAAATAAATAAAAAATAAATATAAATAAAAAGATTAAAAAATTTTAAAAAAACTTGTTTTATTTAATAATTGATTTCGCATCTCATTTTGAAAACATTTCATTAATTCTGACAAAATTTCATTTGATTTTGACAACATTTCATTTAATTTTGACAAATTTTCATTTGATTTTGACATTTTATTTAATTCTAATAATACATCATTTAATTTTAAATTTGCACTATAATTGCATTTTTGTTGCAAACATATCAATTAAATGTATCAATTTCTCGAAATTTTCTAATTTTTTTCTTGTACGATCATTAAATTAACGAGGATAGTGGGGATAGAATGGCTCAATGGGTTGTTGCTCAATTGGGAGCGCCGATGCTGAGGTTTAATTTCCCGTAGGAGTAAACCTGCATAAAAATCCGGATGATGCTGGCGACTCACCTGTATTTCGCCTCTCTGGCCTATTGCCCAATGCGACAAGCCAATGGAGCGTGTTTAACCAATATTGGTGAGGACTCTTAAAAACAAAAAACAAATTAATGATCATAAAATTTTGGAAATATCGTGAATGATATCTATTCACGAAAAAGACAGTTAATTTTTTTCTAAGAGCACTCTTCGTTTCTGATTAGGCTCGCTTTGCTGGCTTGTTAGGCTAGGCGATAAGTTTTACCAGAGAGTTATTTGCCGATAGAAGTACAGATAGATCGGACCGCTAGCATTACTTGGATTTTTTAAAAACCGATTTATTCTTGCTGGAAGTCGAATCTGAGCATTGCCGTTCCGAAATGGTAACTCCGATAATCCGATGAGCCATTTTCCATTTCTTGTTATTTTATATTTCACTAAATGCTTGTAAACGCTTAATGGACGAATAAACAAGAAATGAAGAAAATAAGCATTCTTCTCCGAGAAATTAAAATATTGTCAATAAAAATACTACTAAAATTAAATGAAAAATCGCCATGGAATAATAAATTTCTTTTTATTCGATAGGTATCAATTTAGTTGTTGTTCATGCTTTCTTTATAAATAGTAATTAACTGTTTCCAGAATCCACAACATATGCGTGTTTGCATGTTTGTGCATGTTTAGGCGAGTGTCTGTGCAAATTTACTATGCAAACAAAGTGCATAGAAAGTAGGTTCCACAAAAATTCTGCAGTCTGCATGCAATTCTCCTGTAGGAAAATTTTTGACTTAAAAAATTTTTTTCCACATATTTTATTCTGCTAGCGAATCATAATATATTACAGTATATATCGTAAAAACGGATTTTAAAAATGAAATAAAAAAACACATATCACACAAAATTAGTCAAAAACATGTCCAATACGAGTTTGTGAAGCGATAGATTTTTGATTTTCAATACGATAATAATCATGTTGAGTTGAAATATGAGATGGGTATCCGTAAAATCTGAAATTCATATTAATAATAATAATTATAAAAATTATATTCGAAAATTTCCACTATAAAAGGTGTAGAGATCTTATTAAACAGAAAGGGCCACCTGAAAAAGAAAACAGAGGGAGGGGGGGGGGGGAGCAAAGCGTATGATAATAGTTAGTAATTTCTAATCTTGGGGATAGAATGGCTCAGTGGATTCTTGCTCAATTGGGAGCACCGAGGTTCGATTCCCCGCAGGAGTAAACCTGTACAAAAATTCTGGTGATGCTGGCGACTCACATGCCTTTCTATCGCCAAGGCATTTCCTGGTATATTGCTTAATGTGACAAGCCAGTGGAGCGAGATTAACCAGTAATAGTGACGACTTTTCAACAAAAAAAAATTTCTAATCTTATAATACTGAGCCAAAAAATAATCCATGATTTTTTATGATAGCTATAAAACTGAACTGAACCGGAATTGAAATTAATTGAAAATCAAGTACAATTAATTGAAATTAGAAATCGCGTTCTAGCCAGCTGAATGAAATATTTCAGTGGTTCTTCTTCTAAAAAAATAGAATCATTTCTAATTTGGCTGACTTGGCTGATTTGACTATTCATTAGAGACCCGTTCGTCAGAGAGTAACTCGATGAGGAGGCAAAAATAGTTCATTAGCAGCCATCCGGATAGTTCATATATAAGTACGGTTAAATATGGCTCAATTAGTTTCTCTCTAAAAATCCCATAATACTGACTTAAACTAAAATAGAAACTAGAATTATGAATAAATTAATCGTTTAAAGAAATATGGCAGAAAAAAATGAAAAAATAAATGGAAAAATTTTAATATTCGGTAAAAAATTAATTAAAAAATGAGAAAAGAAATAACTTTAATAAGAAAAAATTATAAGTATTAGCCTCAAGAATAAGTTCAACTTGGAAAATTTATTTTCTCTAAAGATTTATTTAAATTTTTCAGCTTTTCTTTCTCCAGAAAAATTTTTTTTGGAATATCATTAATCATCTAATTTTTGCATGCAATCATCGCACATGCATGCAACCACCATACTTGCATGCAACTATTTTCATACATAAATTATTAATAAAATGCAACTATTTATTAGAAAAGTGTAGGATATTTTTATTTTATTTGTAGCCATTTGTAGTGATTTTCTAATCAAATTTACCCTGAATTTATTTGATACGGCTGGAAATAATATCTTTTCGAAGAATTATAGTAATATGGATTTTCAACGACCGACCAATACACCGATTGTTCCTCCATTTGTTGCATAGGTTGTATTTGATTGTACTGAAATTTATCGCCACGTTCTACACTATTTTCTCTAATGTCCATAGTGTTCGATATGTACCCCTCCATACTTGTAATATATAACTTAATTTACTTATAACTCTTCGTTATTTTATTAGTTATTTTATTAAAATTTCTACCGTCTAAGGATTATCTTTGGCAAAACTAATTGATCAAAAAATAAATCAATTTCTTTTTATTGTTTAAAATTATTGATATTTAATATATTAATATTTAATATGGAAATACTTTTGAACATTTTGCTTTGGAGAAAATTTCATAATAAATTCATTTGAAATAATTTATAGAGAAAATATTATAGGTAAATAAAGAAGCGTAGGAAGAGAATCCATAAAAATAATCACTAAAATGATGAATTTGTAGTTATTGAAAATAAGGAAGAAATGGAAGACCGATCAGATTTATTTACTATATTGTTAAATGTAATCGTTATGCTTATCCTTGAGACTAAAACTATCAAAAACTAAATTTTTTTTATTTTTTTATCAATTAAATCAATTTGATAATGAATCATAAATTATGATAAATAATGTGTGATATGAATGAGATTTACATGTAATTTCGATGGTGTCGTATGAGATGAAAAACTATATTGTGGAATATCGGTAGCATGAAGTGATGGTGCTATTGCGGTGGTTTGCATTGTGGTGTAGTTATCATCAAGTGGTGCTACCATAGTTGAAGCATTACTCCCCATTTCTTTATCAATATTTGAATGAGAACTGAAAAATAATTTTTAAAAAATAAACTGATAAAAAAATAAAGAAAATCCAAATTATTTAGGCTCTATGATAGTAAATTTTTAATAACTACTACAAAATACGAATTTACCTGATTGTGGCTAATGCACAACAAAAAATGCAAATAACGCAAGCTAAAGCGCCAGATGCGGCAAGTATGAGAGCAACTTCAATGATTGTATTCAAATGTGTATTGGCAAAATCGTAGATCGGGAACATCGTGGCCTGAAATGCATGCTTTTTAGCACAATCCCTTACATGTCCTATAGCATTCCCTTTCAAAATTCTTTCCAAAGGAGATTTTGTTCTATGGGAAATTCGCCATCATGAAAGCGATTTTCACCTTTCTCATGATATCGTTTATAATTTGGTAATTTAGTAATTTGGTAATAGTAATAGATAGTTCATTTTTGAAATTTATTGCTTATGAATATATATATATATATAAATATATATATATATTTATAAAGTGGAACAATATCCAGGCTGACGAATACATAAATTTTTAAATAGCTCTATTGTTTCTCAGGAAGTACCAAATCAAAATATCTAAAAATGGAACTGAGGAAAAAAAAATCCCTGACAATATCTAATTGTAGGAGCCGATAAGACCAAATAAACCAAATTATAGTCACAATATTTAAGAACTTATTAGAAAACTTTAGATTTGAACAGCAATGAATGTAATAATTGAATAATAAGGTGAATGATAAGAAACTTTAAATCAGTACCAGGTAGTAAGTATCAGTCATAGCATAGCTGACGGTGAATAAGGCTAATGCGGCCACAATTTCATTGATTAAAATTGATGGTAAAGCCAAACGAGTCGAACATGTTGCGGCAAGCTAAGAATATTGTATAGTAATAAAATGAATGATAATTGCAATGATATAATCATAATAATCATTTAATCATAGGTCAAAGGGCATATAAATGAATGATTTTAAAATATAAAAGAATAACTCTCACCATTATTACTATTTTTTTTTGATTTTTTACCAAATGCAAATTTTTCCGAAAAAATTATAAAATTAATAATTTAATAATTTATTTATATCTAAATAGATATTTAAAAAAATACTAAAATAAAAAAGGCAGCGACTGCAATCGTTCCATTTGCAATTCTATAATATGGATTTCTCAGTGGTACTCTTGCGAATCTCCATTTACCCAACTCGTACACCACATATGATCCAATCATTACAATACCATAAAAAAGAATACCCAACGAGAAGAAAAATGTTGAACCAACTGAATAAATTAAACGATATATGATCGTTGTTCACCTTTTTTTAAATAACCTTTAGTAAAAATTTCGACTTATTCTTACAAATTTCCCAATTCCCAATAAAAAATTTGGAAGCTTTCGGTGTGGAACTTATCCAACTGAAAAATTTTATAACCTGCTGATTTGCTTTTTTTATGGTAATGGTGCCGAGCGATTGTTTTTCCAAGAAGATTAGCGCACGCAAATGAGAAAATAACCTCCGAAAAAAGTACCTTAAATTTAATTTTTTTTTTTATGTACCATTGGACGAATCAAAAATTATTTCTTAAATTATTACATAATTTGAAGAAGAAATTAGTTTATATAAAAAAAACTTCTATGAAAATCATGAAATGACTTATATATATCGTCCAATTGGCTCAATTTAAAAGTGATGACCCATAAAACTACTAAATTTAGCGTTGTTTTGAAAATTTATTGCCTAAAAAACTATATTTCTCCCGATAAGATCCATAAAATATGAATCGAAAGGACTCTATTTTATTAGAAATAGCAATCATGGATCGTTTTCTTTTACTATATTAGTTGATTATTTATTTTATTTTCAACTAATATGCTATCAAAGAATAGGATTTATAGCAAAAAAAAATTAGGGATCCTTGCTCTAAGAAAATGACAAAGTGATTTCTAAGGTACTCCTCGAACTTCATAATAATTTTGAGGAAGGTCTTATCCTTCTATCTAAGGCAAATAAGGCAATCTGAAAGAAAATGAAAGCTTAACATAATTTCTTGCAATTTTATGCTTTATGAATTAATCATTTTATACCAAACACAGTTAAAATGTTCAAGGAAAACATGGATTCATATTGGATTGCACTGCATGGATTCATTGATCTCTATGGCCTTATCTAGTATACTCATAGGGAAAAATGCATCAAAACATAAATATCAGTTAAAAAATAACCAACCCCAAGTTGAACGGAATATAGAACTATACGGGCAGTATAAACATCCATGCTATCAGCTAAATATTTACTATAAGTTGCCGATTGATAAACATCATTTATGGAAACGCACATTTTCTCCACAGAAACAGCTAAACAGATCACAGAAAGCACGAATTCAGCGGTTGGCAGTGAACTTTATAAAAAAATAACTGATTTTATAAATTTTTAATTATTGCATATAAAATATTTTTCGGTTTATTTTTGCTTTTTCTTTTATTATTATAAAAATTTCTAATGACAAATTTTTTTATAAGAATTATAAGAGTCACCATTAAATCCTTAAATCTTCTTATAAACCTTCTCTCTTTGTCGCTGAAAAGCGAATATTTATGGGGTCAACCCGCTTCCACCATTGTTTGAACCCAAAGGGGGTTTTTATGCCGATTTTATCTTTAAAGGTCCATCAAGACTTTCTTTTCGTACTCGTAGGTTCTACTTCAGCTAGCTTTTGCTTTCTTCACGGATATGTATGGTTATCTTATTGCAAATAATAATTTGCTAATTCGCTATTCGATCTCTGCGTATCTCTGAGAAAAATGGCTTATCAACTGATGCCTTATCCTCTTCAATAATTTCCTTCATTAATCCTTGATAATAACTGATAAGGGAAACTACCGAATCCTGTTCCCGTTTTTACGACCTTATAATAGCCTTTTATATGCGCGGTTGGGCGACAACCTTCTACCTTCTGTCATACGAATTTCATTAAATCTTCTGAATATCCCTGCTTTTTTTCCATTGATCTACGCAAAGAACTGCCAATATGGCGAATAGAGTTTGTAAACTCTATAAATTCTTTAACGATCGTAATATTTAAAAACCAACTTTATATTGACTACTCCAAGCATTCCGGTGCAAAAGACAAGAACAGCCACCCATAATAGTTCACCACCATTATATGAATTATTCCATCTTACATCAATTAGTCCGAGAACAACAAGAGCCATTAACAATCCGGATATTAGAAGTTGTATAACGGTTAAAAACCTAAAATTAAAAAATAAAGAGTCAATTGAAATTGCTACCAAATAGAATAGGTTTTTTTAAATAGGGTTAAAGTCTTGAAAAAATGCGGAGAATTTTGAAATATCCTATCACTTCAGTTAGTTATTTTTTATTCCTGAAAATGAGAGCCTCGATTTTTGCTGATTTATAGAATTTTTTATCAAGTGCACTTCTTCTGAATAGAGTTGTTTCATTGTTTTGTTAGACCAGATAAATTTCGCAAGGAAATTAGCGATAGAAGTATAATCGCCATGAGCCACCAGGATTTTTGAAAGATCTATTCTTCTAAAGATCTAAGATCTATTCTTACTGAAAGAATATTCCTAATATTGGCGTTTCAGAAAAGAAACTAATAACCTATTTTGCCATTCTACCTCTTATTTTAGGTTTAATCAATTCCAGACATATCAATTTTTGGAATCTTCAGGGATTTCTTAAAAAATTCGAATATCGCTCAAATTCTATACCTGATTTTCGCCATTAATCGACCTTCCAAAGATAGATTATCGAGTGGGACATTTTGTCGCGAACATCGACCACTTTGTAGAGCTGTTAGTACATTAAGAATGAATAGAATACTAAAACTTCCTAATAATACACCTTGAGATATTACAATTATATACACTGAATAAGCATCTGAAAATAAATCATACATATTCAAGAATCCTTTTTCTTTTCCCACCATTTATGGTTGTGCTCATTCCACTGGTTTACTGGACCAGAAAAATTTTGCCAGGGATTCATTCGGCAATAAGATTATAATTAGATCATCTGAATTTTTGATAGTTTACTTCTGCCTTAAGTAGAGACCTCAGTATTGCCACTTCGAAATGACAGCGACAACCTTCTAAATCATTCACTTTTTGCAAAAATCTTTGAATATTTAGAAATCCAGAGGATCCAGTGATAAATAGAGATTAAAGAGCAAAAGAAATTTATCGAAAAAACATCTCACCAACTACCAGCTTATTTTTTAAGCCACGATATAATATGAGATCATTGAAGTAAAAAGGATTCATATCAACATCGACTGTTTTGAGACACCAAACTGCAGCAATTATCGATAATGCTAGGCTTACCTGAACTCGAACTATTTATTTATTGCTCAATTATCGCAAAAACACTAAAGTCTTATGTCACAAACTTATGAAAATCACCAATAGTGGTGAGGATTTACTTTATAACAGAACGGTGAATTTCGATTGGTAGTCGTTGAGGACAATTCAACCAGAGCACTCATTACTGTAAGCATTGCGGATATATGATCCGTAGCGATTTTTATATATTTATTTTGACCATTAATCTTAAATAATTTATTTGTTAATCAATCTCCTAATCATTTCCGATTATTAGTGTATTAATTAATTTATAGGTTAGGTTCATTCTGTTGGCCACTCGTAACATCACCTGGATTTTTTTTGAAGGACAGCTTTATTCCTAGTAAGAATAGAACACCAATATTGATGTTCCGAAATGAAAGCAACAAACCACTGAGCCATTCTTCCAAAATCAACTATTAGTTCAATTATTTTTGAATTTTGAATTTTGAATTTTCTTGCATTTTGATAAAGATTTATCATAAAACCAATGCAAAAAAAAGAATATTATAATAAAAAAAAATGGATGGATTTAATTTTTATATTTTGAAATTATTTTAATAATTCATCGACTTACCAACTCTCTAAGATATTCTAAATAAGCACATAAGCCAAGTGTGGCTAATCCAAGTAATAACTTTATAGTTGATAATGTGCTATGTATTCTATTAGCATTTCGTAGTAATGTCAATTGATTATGCTGAAATTTCTTATGTTTTTTTATAGATTTATAACCAATATTAAAGTAATATTGACGAATTTTGAATAATTTGCATAATTTAGTGGCTTAGACATAATGGATGGCTTTTCTTGAAAATGTATTATCCTAATAGCTAATAAAACTATTTTAACTAAAATTGATGAGCAATTAGTGAGAAGAATTTATAAAAAAAGATATTCTGAAATAAATTTTCGAAGAAATTTTCCGAATAACTTTCAGACAAAAGGGGGTTAACCATGGACGTCCACTTGGCGATAGAAATATAAATGTATCATAACTACGATTTTTTTTTGCTGAGAGTAAAACCCCGGCACAAAACCTCTGAAATAACAGCAACCCACAACCCACTGAACCAGTCTACCACTTTATTAGTACTTATGATAACGTTGTCAAAATATAGTGAATGAATTGCGATGGAATATTCCAAATTTGCAGAAAGCGATTCTCATATTAATTTTAGGAAAAATTATTTACTCGTCGAAATTTTTTACTTAATTTTTCTGATAATTTTGAAAATAAAAAGATTGAATACGACTAACATTGTCAAGCGACCACTGTGGATTCATAAAAATGATTAATTTATTCAGCATTAATGCTGCTATAAGAGCAAGGAAAGCTGCAAGTGCTGCTACTGCTATCATAATAGCACTTATGGTGATTTTTCCTGGATGATAAGGATCATCAATCCTCCGAGGTTCCAAAATTGGACCGCTTGTTCCAAAATCATGAACTACCTAAATTTTTTTTTAATGGCAAAATCTAGTGAAGTTTTCCTTCTAGAGTGATGGTAGAACTGCAGTTTTTGACTAGCAAATCTAACGAACTTTTGAATTTCGGTAACTAATATGGAACTAGCCGAGTTAACAATGGTATGAACTATTAAAAAACATTATTGTGAAGAGCAAAAGAAAAAACCCGATAGGTTGTAAATCCATAAAATATAGCCGATGCAACTCCAATAACGAATGAAACTAAATAGACGGTGGTTGTCACAACGTGGAATCGACCACGAAGAGTTGAACAAAATCCTAATAAACCCGCTAGAACATAAATCCAATTCAATAATCGTAGATCAATAGTCCTTAAAAAATTGCAATTTTTATTTTATTCTATGAAGAATATATATGAAATTGGGATAAATGGATTTAGACGAAGGCTTCTGTTACTCTCAAATATAGCATCGAATGCTTTAGCCTAGTAATCTAATGCGAGCAAAGTTAGAATAATCAACATTGCCGGTTTCATTACTCACATATAATTAATGACCTGTTTCACTGGTTATAGATCACCAGTTACCAGTTTTCCCCCTCGGTTTTATTTAATAAAATATACTCACATATAAGTTCGTATCGCAACATCTGAGAATTGGCTCCCAGAAAGGCCAATCGCTATCAAACCAAGAAGTATTAACAATATATTATAAACCTGCAATACGCATATTTGTATTATACATTATAAGCATGAAAGTATAGCTCCAGCTATATTACTTATATTACTGCTTACTTACTGAGCTGTACTGCTTTTTTTTACTAAAATCCTAGGAGATTTAGAATAAACAAAGGTCCTTAGGTACTGAGCTGTATTTTTTACTAAAACCTGAGGAATTTAGAGTAAGGAAAGGAGCTCCAGGAGTCCTTGAGCACCTTATTTATATATAAAAATTGATGAAAAAACCTGCAACTGGCATAGATAGGTTGATGTTGTAGCATTCCTCATCCTCGATGCATTAACCTCCTTGGTTTTTTTTAAGTTTTCCTCTATTTTTTGATATAAAGGAAAGTTATCTTGTAATTTATTGGTGCCTGAAATTATTTTTTCAATAAATTCCTAAAAAAAATGAAATATCGAATATTCATCAATAATATTTTTTTTATATCAATTTCTTATTATACATTAATTAATATATAATATGATTTTAATAAAAAGAATTTTAATTTTCGATATATAATAAATAATAAATAGTATTAAAAATAATAGCAGTGATAATAATAATTTAATAACAATAATAAATAAAAATAATAAATAATAAAAAAGAGATTGCAAAGAAATGTGAAGAATTTTCTACATTTTTTATAAATATGCTCATAAAATGAATAATTTTAGCCATTAATAAGCAAACATTATTTAAATAACTGATAAAATTTGATAAAATTTGATAAAATATGAATAATTATAAAAATATGAATGAATTTTCAAAGTGCATACAGATGAATACGAATGGATTATCTAAAATATCAATATAAAAATTGCAAAAAGTATCTTTACCAAATTTATTGGAGGTAGAGCGGCGGGTTTGTGGCAGGCTGAATTGCTCTACCTTAGGTTTTATAAGCTTAACAAGTACAAATCCGAATGGGTCTGAGAATCCAACATCTATCTATCTTTCCATGAGATGATTCAGAAAGAAAGAGATTTCTCATCGCAGTATTTACTAAAAACTAGGCTAGGCTTTTCTAACACCGCACATTATTTTTCAATTTGCCCAGCCGCAAAAAATAATTAATGCTATATATTTATACTAAATAAAAACAAATCAAGACAATGTATAATAATAAAAAAAGTATGAACAATTGAATTAAAATAGGAAAAGGATTTTGAAAGAGAGAAACTTTACTTCTACTGTTTGTGAAGAAAATATGAAGTTTTCGGCTAACTAGATCTAAATTTGTGGAATGTTTACCTAGCCAGATTACATTACGATGGTATCGAAATTGCCTGGAATTTATTTACATGCTTAATGTTTGCACGCTTCCATGATCGATTGATTGTTGTTTGCATTTCGAGATTATTTTGGATTATTTGCAAATTTTTCTTATTAAAATTATATAACAAAAATAGAAAAATAATTAATAAAAAATTTTTTTTGCTCTTTATTTATCGTTTATGAAGAGGTTATATGGCTCAATGGGTTATTATATTTTATTTCGAAATGCTAGCAGTAGAGTTCCACTACTCTAAATAGGAATAAACTTGTCTTTCAAAACTCTGGGTATTGCTAAAACTGGGTAATACTGATCCACTTGTAATTCTATCATCAAATGAAATTTGTCTGATCCAATAGACAATTGGACAATATACCAGGGAATCTCTTGGCGATAAAAAACAGGCAAGTAGCCAGCATCAGTCGGATTTTTACAGGTTTACTTCTGCAGGGAATCGAACCTCAGCATCGGCGCTCCCAGTTGAACAACAACCCACTGAGCCATTCTATCCCATTCACTAGAATTACTATCGTATTTTTAAAATATACAAATATAAATATAAATAAAATATAAATATATCACCAAAGCATTTAAGTTGGTAATGCGTTAAATGATTACTATACTATGAAATCTTAGGACGATGATGGTTAAGTTGATTGGTTAAATTCGCCCCACATATTACCTCAGCTACAGTGTTGGTTTGAATATCTTAAAGTAGGGGGCTATCTTTGACTGTCTTAAAACGTGGATGGTTCTTAGAGTTCCATCTCTTTTTCCAAATGATTCTCTGACCAAACGATTTTATTATCACCAAAATGTCACCAAAATCAGGCGATTTAAATTCATTTCTAAGCGACTTTATTGAACGAATGAAAGTAATTTAATAGAATCAATTTATTTTTCAAGTGAAATGACGAACTGTAAACCTATTCATCGCATTTTAGTAATAAATCTTATATTTTTCAACGATGAAAATGAGAAATTTAGCAAAAATATAGTAAAGTAAAGCAAGTAAAGTCAAATATGATATACTTTTTATTAAAGAATTTTAAAATAATTTTAAGTAGCTTAGTAGATCTACCAACAAATGTGAGTCAAAAGATTTATATAGCATTAGAAATAAAAAAAATTAATAAACTACTTGTTTGGTACCATTCAAACAACGACAAATAGTACAATGAATCTGACAATGAGGAAAAAATTTATTAATTTTTTTTCTCGGATTAAATAACAAAATTTTCATCGAGAAAAAAAAAAAACTAAAAATACGATTTATACAAGAAAAAATAATTTTCATTGAAAAAAAATATTATTGGCGAATTGAAATCGGATGATTTAGGTTTCTTTCTAAGCTTTTATTGAACGAATCAAAAGTTATTTTATAGAACCAATTTGTTTTTCAAGTGAAATGACGAATTGTAAAACTATTCATGGCATTTTTAATAATATTTTTTATGTTTTTCAGCGAAGAAGATGAGAAATTTAGCGAATTTATATTTGATTTAAATCATAAAATTTCTCGAGTAATGCAAACGATCAACTGACTTCGGGGCTTCTATCGCCAAGTGACTCCTTGAAAAAAAAAAAAAAAAACTTGTTTGGTGCGAGGACAAGCCATCGGATCAAGAAGAACCTAACCAGATATGTTGAGATATGAGAGTTGAAAAAAAAAAGAATCATATTATATCCAGTTGAATTGAAAGAATTTTTAGCTTTTATAGAAATTTTATTTCTTTTTTTTAATATTGCTCATCATTTTTTTTAATGTTATTTTGTAAAATTTCGTAAATTTCGCGAAAATCTTTTATTTTATATAATATTGCAAAATATCGGAAGGGGTAGAGGAGGTGAATTACTCTTATTTCGCAGGGATGCAGCGATTCCCTCGCTTTTTTTAAAGAATCACCACCATTACTGGTTAAACTCGCTTCGCTGACTTGTCGCACTGACAAATATGCCAGAGAGTCCTTTAGTGATAGAAGTACAGGTGAGACGCCAGCATCACTTGGATTTTTGGACAGATTTATTCCTGCGGGAAATGGAACCTCAGCATCGGCATTCAGAATTGAGCAACAACCCACTAGGCTGTTCGTTCTGGCGTAAGTAAGTTTATCTATCAAATTGATTCCTTGGTAAAAATTTGTCTTCTCTACCTGAGAAATAAGTGCAAATCTAATCAAAATCGCTATAATCAATAAAAAATAATTTCTCATTATTTTTGCAAATATTATTAATTAAACATTCTATTAAAATTATTCAAAAAAAAAAAACAAAATACTTAATACTCAAAATACTCAAAATACTTTCAAATACTTTCCGAACAAAAAAAAACTTTTATATATCATTTAAGTATGGATTTCCAATTATAAAAACTGATAAATATTGATCTAATTGATAAAAATAGAATAAATTTAGAAATAAATTTAGACATAAAATAAATAAAATTAAAAATCGCTAATTTGTTTAGAAATTCTTTCATCAAACACATTGTTAGCTTAAAGAAAAGCTAACGACGCGTATTTCATTAAACAAATAAATATGAAATTTTAAATTTTTAAAATTTTCGTCGGCAAAATATCATTATCAGTAAAATATATCATTAAGATATCAATAAATGATCAATGTGTTCTCAAAAGATTAATTTCAATGAATTTCAACAATTCTGCTAATTCAGGAAACTTAACAATATTCAGTAAAATTAGTAGGCCAAATTAGTTTAGCAGATTTTAGGAAGAACTTTAGAATCATGGAAATTTAGTGATAATCTCAATCGAGTTGCCGAATCGATCGCAAGAAGCCACTGACATTTATTAGAATTAGTGAATTACTAAACCAATTGTATTGTATACAATATTAGCGATGGCTAAACATATATTAAATAAATGAATAGCTTCGCAAAAAAAAAAAATGTCATTGTGAAATAGAAATTTGGTGACAAATCCAGTTGGTAAGTTTCGTGTGCCAATGTCAGATGGAAATAAAATGAATATAAAAGAGTTCGTCCTAGAGACGGGAAACAACATATCGATCAGGTTTGATATGTTTTGTATAGATCCAGTTATTATTAGTATTATTATTATTATTATAATAAATCTAGGCATTTCCTCTCTTTTCAATCATTTCATCTTTTTTGTATTTCACCTTTTGAATTGAGTTTTGGATGCGAAATTGACAATTTCAATTGAAAAGAATGCGAAAAAAAAGTAGCGCAAAAATTTAAATTCATATTTGATCTTCGCTAATCTGCGCTATTATACGCGATTTATTCACTATATTTGATAAAATTAGCGCGTAAAACAAGAAAAATATATATATATATATACATAATGATGGAATAAATTTTGAACTCATATTTATTATGTGATTTTGCGAGAAATTACCGTACCTAATGCTCTCAGCGAAAACTTTTAGACTAGGCTAGCAGATTAATTTTTGAGGAGAAATTATGAAATTAATAAGGCACTAGTGAGAGAATTATGTAATGTTCGGATGTTCTCCGACAGGAAAAAAGCGACAATTTATATTCATAGTTTTTAAATATCAGCTAATTGTCCTAAATTTTCTTTCCTTTTACAAATTAATTAAAGCTATTTTGTGAATTTTAGTGCAACGAAATTATTTTCAAACTGAACTCGAATTTAGCGTTTCTCTTATTTAAGGCAAAGATTAGTATTCTCCACTTCTGACTTGCATCCTTCTTTGCTCACCTTGGCTCTTGGTACTTGCTTGCATGCAATAAATTAGCCCATTTCTAGAGAATACAAACAATTTGATTTGATTATAAATTTAAAAAATAGCATCAAAAATCAAATATTTCATAGATACGTCA